AAGATCAGAAGCCTGTAGCGTACACAATTCGTGTTCTCACACAAACTGAGACACACTTTGCGTAGATAGAGAAAGAAATGTTAGCCATGATCGTCTGTGCCCTTGGGAAGTTTAAATAGTTTCCCTATGGAAGACACGTCACCATTTACAGCTATCACAAACTCCTTGAAGCAATTCTAGATCTAAAGAAGCCCTTAGCACATCCACCCCGACGACTACAAGGGATTATCATGACTTTGATATGCATTACGAATTAAAGAGAAAAGAATATGCACATAGCAGACCTCCTATTTAGAAATTCCTCGAAGGCCTGGCGTTATATTTCCCTCCCAATATGGCAATGGGTAAAGCGAAAGTGCACTCAGGTTACATAGGGCGCTTTCCATTCAACAAAAATTCCGGTTTGAAATTTCGGAAACTTCTCGTGCTCAATGGAACGGTACATTCCAGTTGCACAGACTCGACCCAAGCCACCGCGCGTTTTGTTATTGTGGCCCCGCAGCAGACTCAAAATTACACTCTAAAAGAGAAGAGTAAATACTGTTTATATCCTAAAGAACACTCGACTGTCGAAAAGCGGCGGTGGAAAACTAAAGGCGGAGGAATCCTATTTCGCGTAGAAAGCCTATGAAAGCAAGTGAAGGTAAAAAATTCACGTGAATTGAAACGATACTCTCAGAATATTCGAACGATTCGAAGCAATTCCTGGAACTGTACGGTAAATAAATTCGGTGTTTTGGCCAAATTTGTATTCAGCCAGGCTTTGTTGTATTCATTTCAGCTTAATTGACAAATTGCTTTAATTAAATATCGTGGATAGGTTTCAGACAAATAATACGCTGATTCTCACGGACTTTATACACACTTTTTCACCAAGTGTCGTGTTGTGTCGGTTATTTGACACTGTTAATGGCAAATATCAAAAATCGAAAAAAATTGCAACTGACTCAAACTATTTGAGATGTCATGGCTTTACTCACAGTACTTGACTTTCCATTGGAAACTACTTGTTCTTGTAAGCAGGATACAAAAGAGCGGTACTGGGGACAACAATTTTGGCAAATGGAAAGGCACATTTCGGTCCGACCGACCGAAATGAGCAGACCGGTCACTGTGGACCACCTTCAAAGCTGGTCCCGAGTATTCCGGTCGGAGTTTGACTAATAGTCGCCGATTGCGGGTCGCGGGTCGCGGGTCGCGGGTCCAATGTCGCGGTCGCGGGTCCAATGTCGCGGCAGGGGAAAATTATTTCGAGTTCGAGGTAACTGAGTGAAAACGAGTGATATGAAAAAAATATAAAGGGGAAAAAATCGCTTTTATGCATGATACTCTACGGTAGCCAATTTACAGGTTACGGATGTTAGAGTCAACAAAATAATGTCTCAAGAAAAGACCCAAAGGAAAAAGCTGGCCGACTTTTGTATTCACCGCAAGTTCATTTTGTTTTCTTTCTATCGGGCCCTGTTATGTATAAATTCAGCTTTGTATGTACTTATGCATAACAGTATCTGATAAAAAATGTCACCATAAGTTACCATTGTTTTCTTCTTGTCTATGAATTGCTCCCAAATGCTTAGGGGTGCATTCACCGAAAAATGTGCGATACACTTCATAGACTATAAATTATAAACGTTACAACAACTTAAAACCTTTGTTAAAAAAGGCTAACTCGGGCTCGACAAGCTACGAGTCTGTCGGTAGAAGAAACGAGAACTGTTTCAATTTTAACAAATGTTTTCGGCAAAAATAAAGAAAACGCTTGTTGAAAAACTTCCTGGGGCCCGTTTCTCGAAAGTCCCGATAATTAACGGGCCCGGTAAGCTGTCTCCGTTTACATTAAAAATCGAGGTTTTAATAGTTTTGCATCTAGCATGATAAAACTATCAGTTAGTGAAACAAAATGGAGTAGTTTGCTAGCCAGGACCAGCGCTCTTATTCTTTATATTTCGATTTGAATATTTGATTTCGGGCCCGTAAAGTTACCGGGACTTTCGAGAAACGGGTCCCTGGTCGCAAGCTCCGAAAATAAACTCTTTGCACAAGTAACTGGAAAGAGGAGGAGAGACGTTGGGCTTGAAGTGCCAGTAAAGTACGTTCAAGCGGGTATTCAAGGCATGAATTTAATATAGAAACAAGTAATAATCCACAGCAAGTGGGGATAAAGCTCGATCTTTATCCTCTCTTGTCCACAGAAAGGAGTTTGTTCCCACTAACGATTGAAATCCGGAATCCAAGCTCTACTAAGAGAGAATAGATCTTAGTCTTTTGGTTCTACTGACAAAGACTTGAATCCAGTACCTGGAATCTGGAATTACTTACCTAATTTATTCTCTTTTCTTAGCTCTGGTGGAGTTGATAACTTACCGTTTTCAGTGTCTGGTTTACTTTCTTTTTCAGCTTCATGATATCGGGCGTTATTATTTCCTTACCTACTTACTCACTTAGTTACGATGCATGTTTTCAAGATTTGACTGAGACGCACATTGAATGGCTTCCTATTGTCAGGTTGTCCTGGTTGCCATTCAGGTGAAGAGAACAAGAAGGTATATTGAACACTCTGGGTTGCCGTCTCAGTTGGAAAAATAAAAGCATTAAGCGAAAATCTTGCTTCGAGGAACAGACTCCTTTCTGTGGATTATTACTTGTTTCCATATTAAATTCATGCCTTGAATACCGCTTCAATGAAGTTTCATGCGCCTATTTACATTTTCTTTCAGTTTTGTCGAAAACATTTGTTAATATAAGAGTTCTCGTTTCTTCTACCGACAGACTAGTAGCTTTTTGATCCCGAGTTCGCTTTTTTTAAAAAAAGGCTTTAAGTTGTGGTAACGTTTATAATCTGTAGTCTATGAAGTGTATCGCATATTTTTCAGTAATGAACCCCTAAGCATTTGTGAGCAATTCATAGACAAGAAGAAAGCCATGGTAACTTATGGTAACTTTTTTATCAGATACTGTTATGCATAAGTATTTTCAAAGCTTAATTTACACATAACTGGGCTCGATAGAAAGAAAACAAAATGAACTTGCGGTGAACACAAAAGTCGGCCAGCTTTTTCTTTTAGGTCTTTTCTTGAGACATTATTTTGTTGACTCTCACATCCGTAACCTGTTAATTGGCTACCGTAGAGTATCGTGCTTAAAAAAGATTTTTTCCCTTTATATTGTGTTCATGTCAGTCGTTTTCACTCAGCTGTTACCTCGAACCCCAAATCATTATCCCCTGCCGCGACATTGGACCCGCGACCGCGACTTTAGACCTGCGACCGCGACATTGGACCCGCGACCGCGACCGCGACTTTGGACCCGCGACCCGCGACTATTGGTCAAACTCAATGGTCCGTTCCATTTGATGAACCAACCGAAATTTCCGGAATTTTGGGTTGAATGGAAAGCGCCCATATTCTCCTCAACACTCTTTGTACGTGCGACTCTTGTTTGTTTAGAGAGATGACTAACATTTTTAAAAAGTTAGAGGGATGGTACGTTAATTATAGAGGGTCGTGAAGGGGGGTACCAAATCCCAGTTCCCAGCCTAAATTTGGCCCAAATCCCAGTTCCCAGGCTAATTTTTGCCAAAATCCCAGTTACCAAATTTTCGGTGTGTATAACAGCGTTATTTGCATTGACGTACTTGATTTCTAGTACCATTTTGCGAAGAAACCTTTTCCGAAGCCATTTTTATCTTCCCTTCACAATATCTTCCCGCCATATGCAAACTTGCAGAACTTGTCCGCTGACCAGGAAAACTGACAGAACGTAACTATGCAACCGTGTAAGCCTGGTAGCTAGACCGCGGACGCGAAGGCGAAAAATACTGATTTCACGGTCTCTACTGAGGAGTGCGAGGTCTATTGCTACGAAATTTTATTTTTCTATTTCAAAATATTGGAGCAAAGACCGCTGAAGAGAAGAAATCCCATTCCCATTTTATAATTGTTGATCCCATTCCCAGTGGCTAAATCCCAGTCCCAGTGAGTAAATCCCATTTTCCCAGTCCACAATATGGCTAATCCCAGTTCCCATTTTACCCCTTCACGACCCTCATTATATCCTGGCTGAAGGTATGTATACTGAATTGCGTATCTGTGAGATACAAAGCAATCTTGCAACAGTACGAATGTTTGCAAACTTTGTCGCCTCGAACTTAATTGGGCGACATTAACACCGATTCACATCAATGCCCGTCTCAGTTCATACTTAAACGGAGCGCATATAAAGCCATTTTTACATTGCCACGGTTTCTGTGGATTTTCAGTTATATGCCTTTCTGCAGTTTCATGATATTGGCATGCAGGTTTACAGAATATTTTTTATAACTAGTTTGTACTTAACGTTCAGCGAACTGTTTTCAAAAGGACTGAAGGCTATACAATCATAATTGATCCATGGCATTTTTATCTCTTTACTTTTACAGATTGGTTGCTGGAGTAGAGATTGAAATTCAACCGTGAAGACAGTTCAGAATTCGCTAACTTTCGTAAGGTTCCTAAACAATGGAGGTAAGTTCTTGAACAGGTTACATGCAATACTTGTTGCTGCCACACCAACGCACTCAGTTTTTAAACTTATTTGAGACATGCTCTATTCTTTTTTTCCCGTGTCGGCCAAAGACTGAGAAAATATATTCGAAGAAGCCCGCTCAATCGAACGAAGGAGCAACTTGTTGGGTTGTTTCTTCCATAAACTATAGCATGTTGCCCTGTTACATGCCCTTTTCGCGTCGGTAAACACAGTAACTTCTGGCATATGAAAAATCAAAAACCCTGAATCTAGAGTGGAGAGCCAGATTCTGGACTTCATTCTTTATTTATTGGATGGTTTCGATCGTTATTTTTGATGAGGTGACAGTGAAAACCAGCAATTTTTAAAATAGAAGAGACTCATGTGAGGGATCCCAGACATTTAAACTGACTTCTAGACGAAAACCGCGGATGAAATGAGGATAAGTTTACTAAATTGTAATTTTTTTCAGTAGACCGTTTTCTTTTCTTCATTAGAGATCTTGGAGGCAAAGATATCAAGCTAAAGACGATGAGAAGGCCTCAGCCATGGCACCAGAGCTTTCCCGCAAAGAATATGAACAAGGTCAGCCTGAAAGTCGAAGCCAGCATCACGTCGAGGTAACATTGCCCGATTGATATTGCTCGATAACCTATACGTAGGGGCGCCCAATGATTATTTTCTGTAAAATGTCTGGAATAAAAGAAATTCTGGATAACCTCTCCGTTCGTCTAACATGTATGTTCGGAATGAAAAAATTGCTTCCCTAAAATTATGGTTACTCCGTGTCCTCGCAGTCTTGACAAGACCCGGCCTTTGGGAGAGCTACAACTTTTGAGACAGCCAAGATTCCCCCAAAACATCTGAACAGATAGATAGTGTTTGGGACAGCTCCAAACTAACGAAACAGACTTTCTAAAGCGTTGAGTCTCCGTCTGTAGACTATTATGACTAAATTGGCTGATTTAGGTCTTTAGGTGCCGCTATATGCTGACGAGCCATCACGCGATCAAAAGCAAAAGTCGATGCGATTCAGGCAATTTTATTTTGTCCGAACAAATTAACGCTCGAACGTACATACCCATCCGTATAGTAGTACAAGGGGGGTTAATGGAATCCCTCCCTTGAATTTTTGATGTGTTGCATTATTTCGAAACGATTTTACTGTCTGAGGTACATTTTATGGATGGTGGTGCTGCTGGAGGCCTGTGACGTCACCAAACTTGGTCGCCATCTTGAATTAGAAATCAGGTGAAGACGGAGAGAACTGGCCATTTTTTATGTTTGAAATGTCAAATAACACATAAATAAGTAGTTTGCTTCATTTTATCCACAAACTTGACTTTTTTCGTTAAAACAAGTTGAGAAAACAGGCATTTTCACCCAGAAATGGCTTGACACCTACTACTTATGACATCATGTTTCGTTACTATATTAACTAGAAATACGTGTGTCACAAAACCTTGCGAAGCACTCGAGGAGGCCCATAAAATATGAGGGATGGAAAAGGGGAGAAAATTGGTGTAAATAATAACTATTTTTCCCAAATGGGTGCGAGAGATAAAAGAAGAGCTAATGAAAAAGTCAGATTTCCAATGTTTGACCGTCTATGAAGAAACTAAACAAAACCTCGTAAGGGATGTGGCATCCCACCCCCTCTTGTAGAACCGCGGGTTAAAGCGCGTGTCACTGGCTTAACAACTTGTACATACCACTAAAAGTTTACTACTGCGCATGTCCTCCTTAGTTCCCTAGCTACATTCTTCTTCTTCATTCTTATTTTAGCCACTCACCCCAGACCGCTTTGAAAGTCTAACTTAACCTTTCACAGAATGAGAATTAAGAAGGATTAAATTTCTTTGCTGGGTTAAAAAAAAGGGTTATATATCTTAGTCTCAAACACAGTTGAATCAATTATTTTCACCTAGAATCCAAAAACGTAGAAGTTTGTAAAGAATTAAAATAAGATTTCATTACATTTCTACCTTTGAAACATTTGATAAAATTGTTAATATTAACTGCTTACCTCCGAAGTCCTCGGTGTTTATGTAATTGCAAACTCTGCCAATAATCGTTCTCCGTCTTGTCCTTATCAGCTGGGTCCCAAGAAAGAGGCTAAACAGTTCATTTTGGCTTTATTTTGTTTAATCGAAATACGTTACTTATAACTTATTATAGACAGATTTTTGAAAACGTTATTGGAAAGTGGATCTTTTGTGCCTCTAAGGTAGCCATTATGAAAACTAAGAGTGCAACCATTGCTTTTTATTTTGTCTTCTCCTCCTTTCTTCTACCTCGCTCTTTCTTTTTCTCATTTCCTTTTCCTTTTTTATTGTGATTTTGAAGATTATCAGGCCCAAGAAACCTATCTTTTGAGGCCTTTTCACTCAACTGACGACAAATGTCATTAGACTGGTTTTCAAAAAATCGGCTAGATATACACCTATATATATTTATTACTTACGGTTATCTAAAAGAATCATATTTACACAAGTGGGCGCTCTGACTCTATTCAGCCAAAATTCTGGAAATTTCGGTTACAAACCAGATGGAACGGACCATTTCGGTTGGGGCCTACCGGAGTATTTGGGACCACCTTTGAAGGTCACCACTCTGACCGGACCGCTCATTTCGGTAGGGCGGATGGCCCTTTCCATTTGACATAGTTGTTGTCCTCAGTACCCCTCATTTGCATCCTGCTTTCAAGAACAATAACCAAACTTGTGGTGGCAGTGGGTCCGGTCAGCACAATCGGAATGCACTGTTTCACTTGGGACGTGGAATTTCCCATCCTCGGAGACCCAGGGGCAGATAGTGGGGGCGAGGGAAAGTCTAACCGAGGGGAAAAATAATGCACAAAGAAAAGTAAAGAATGGCCAGAAGAGCCCCTGGGGACAATGTCTTACCAGACCAGTTCCAAAGGTCGCCGCCGTTCTGGCTTCTGATTGGTGCCAGAAAACTTGGTTTTTCTGGCACCAATCAGAAGCCAAAATGGCGGCGACCGTTTGGAACTGGTCTGGTAAGACATTGTCCCCAGGGGCTCTTCTGGCCATTCTTTACTTTTCTTTTGTGCCATATTTTTCTGCCTGTTTAGACTTTCCCTCGCCCCCACTATCTGCCCCTGGGGCTCCGAGGATGGGAATTTCCGAAATTTCAAACAGGAATTTTTGTTGAATGGAAAGCGCCCTTTATTTCTAAGGAGGGATTCCAAATGCCACAAGCGCAAGACAACGACAGAGAGGAAGGACTTTCACGGGCTTTGGCTCACACAGCTTTAGGCCCATCAGACATGGACTCAAGAAGACACCCAAGTGTGGATTCAAAAGACCAAAAACTGAGACACATTTCCGCCGGAGGTATGTTTCAATCGTCAGTTGCTCATTTGTTTCGAAACAGTTTGTCGGAGACAATACAGTATTTTTGCATCACTTTAAAAATGCAATTTGAATTTATTTGACATATTTGCATTTTAAATGATAAGTTTTCTTTCTGTTGAATTCAAGCATTTATATTTTTATTTCATTCCCGGTTTAATTTCCCAAATGCTTTTTGTTCATTATTGCCTATTCTGCCGCATTTGAATATATTTATATAGATATTTGCGCCTTAAAAGTTTTTGAAATTAAAAAAAAAATTGTGGCGGTGGTGGAGCTAAAACAAACAAACAAAAATGTGGTGGTGGTGGTTGTATCTAACTTCGCTATAGAGCTTGTCACGGGTTTCTACACCATCTCGAAGAGTAGGCTAGCCTGCGAACAGCAGACGTATTTCCGGTCGTCGCTTCTCTCCCTCCGAAAAATAACAACGTTATTTTTCTGAGGGAGAGAAGCAACGACCGGAAATATGTCTGCTGTTTGCAGGCTGCGAGAGTAGGCAAATGCGTGAGAAATTGCAGTGTTTGTATAGAATTGAATGTCGAAAAATTTCTGTAAAACGGTTGTTCTGAGAAAAAAAAAAAAATATATATATACATATATATAAATTGCAAACAAAAGCTATACAGCAAAGAATTTTAATAACAAATTTTGGGGGCCGTTACTGTGCTTGAACTTCTCCAGACGCTTGCTTTAGATTTTCCATATATTTGCAAGTAGTTCTAGCGCTTGTAGCTGCATGTAACGCCCTCAAATGATTTCAGTAGAATCGTTTGGCGTAAAGCTTTAGTTTACAATTTATAGCGGAGCTCCACGCGCGCTCAAGGGGAGCCCCATAGCTAAGAAAATTTGGTTATGACGTCAGTGTACGACCCCCCATCTGTACAGACGCTGGGGAAGGGGGAAGAGAGTCAGAGGTCAGCCCGTCAGGAGAGGAGCATGTTATAGCTGAGGTGAAATTTTGCATTTCAAACACCTCGCTCGTTTCGGCCGTAAATCAAATGCACAGACTTTTCAGTAGAGAGAGAGAAAAAAAAACGAGTCTTTCTTTACACTAAATTTTAATGTCTACGTTAACTTAGATAACAGGGAAAAAGCTAGAGCGAGAAATAAGTAACAACGGAGACCATTTTCGTTGGACGAAAAACATGAAAATTTTAGAGCAGCGGTTAGAAAATGAGAAATGCTAGTGGCTAGCATAGTGAAAATGAGCGGCAGTGACAAAGCAGAGTGAACAGGAACACAAATATTCCCTCCATAAAACGTGTAAAGAGGAAGTTAAAAGAAGTCTCATGTTTTAGTCGGGCAAAACAACGGCAAGGAAATGTACAAAACAGTGTTTATTTGCTACTTAGATCTGTTGTTGTTGTTTTTTACTTTTCTCATTGTTTTCACCATTTCTTTAGTATTATGTTTATTTTATATTTTCTTTGAGGAAACTATAAACATTAAAGAGAGCTTCGCTTTTAGCCCTGGCTAAATCTATATATTTCTTTCTTTAGAACAGCCGTTTTACGGCAATTATTCGGCACTAGATTGTCATACAAACACTGTAATTTATCACGCGTTTACCTACTCGTCAAGATGGCGTTGAAAACCGTGACAAGGCCTGTTCACAATAGGAATTAACTTTAATTACAAATAAACTGTGTCAAACGAAATGTCAATGTAGGGTCGTTGTGGGGTCAATGTGGTGGAGGGAAAATGAAAATAATAATAATAAAAAAGATAAAAGTGGCGAATAAATTAATTGTGGAGAAAGGCGGAGGGAGGTGGGGTAAGTAAAACACAGTCTTTGGTGCTAAAAGAACTGGTTGTCTTCTTGCTCATTAATATGTACGATTTTCCCTTTAGTAAAGAAAACGTGCACATAATTACGTTACGGCTTAGTAATTTTAAGACACAGGCGAGTTAAAGGTTGTTTCTTAGACACCATGAATTAACCAATAAAAACGTTTCTTATTACCCAATAATCAACCAATCGAAAACCAAGACATTTATCGACCTCAAAATAACAAGAAAACCTTTCAGACCGATCAACTCACTTAAAAATAGCCCATTACCTAATCTTGATACAGAATCCACCGAATTATATTCATGAGATAAAGACAAAAGGCTATGACTTCATAGGTGTACAAGTATTCCCCCGCAAATTAATGATATTTCCCCACAAAAAAGGATAATTCTGTCCTTAACATACTACGTTAGTCTACCTCAGGAGCACACGCAGAATACTGCATTGGGATTATGATAGTACTTTTAAGAAAGTATTTTATCTTTTTTAAGACAAATTGTATTAACAGAATCAGCAGCGGCGTTAATGACATACGGTGTTCACCCATCAGTGAAATTGTTGTTTTTTACTGAACTTTTCCACTTACACACAGGATTTGGCGTGTCATGTTTTATGAGGTTATTTAGAAAATTTTTTTTCAGATTACCTTTTCTATATTTTTAGGTGGAGTTTGCTCAAAGCAAGGATATCAACAGGCAATACCTCTGTGCCTACCAAACAATTGCAATTGGGATTCTGAAACTGGTCAGTATGTTCAAACAGAAGAGGAACATCGATCCCTGTATGTGGTGGAAGAGGCCCTTGAACAGCTCAGGAAAATAAAAGGTAAAATTGTCAGTGGCTATTCATTGCCCAATGGCACTGTCTAGACTGTCAGCCTTTTTTCTTAAAATCTGCCTAGTTCTTATCTCATCCAGCGCTATTGCAAACCACGACGGTATTATTAGAATAAGGTATTGAGACGAGACGAGAAAGGACCATTCTCGTCCCCAGAGCCTGTCGTTTGTTGGTCACGTGGTCCAAAAACGAGGGTCTCTGGAAGCAGCTGTTACCGGAAGTCAGAAAATTTCTGACATCTGGTCGCGCATGTGCAGAAGTTACAAATATCACTGTTCATGCTCATAACGGATTTTTGTCTCTTACCGCTCGACTGGGGAAAAAAAAATTACTTCCTGAGGTCTCTCTAGAGAGTGGCTTCTTTGGGATGCTTTGAAAATACAGACTTTACTAAACTTGGATTAGCTAATAATTTGGAGTTAAAAGAAGACATTAACAGAAACCGGCTGAACACACTGTTGGTTTGCAGAACCGAGACAATTAATCGACAGACTATCGTCTGAGTTATGTGTTTTGTTTTCAATACATTTGGCGAACAAACACTGGGAAAGCAAGATCTCGAAGATCAATATAATGCGGGAAAAAGCCAATCTAAAGAGGTATCTTGTTCCATGTGCTGCAAATGCTATCTTACTTCAAAACGCTTTTTGAAACGAAACCATAAATGTGTTGTGTTAAGAAAGTAAAATTTATTTCATTTCACTCGAACTACATGTGTGTTTTTTCCTATGTTTACTTCCTTTGGAGGTGTTGCATGTCTTGGTATTAATTTTGCACATGAGCTTTTGTGTACAACAAGAGTTAAGACAAGCAAAGGATTTACGTCAAAACAAATGAATATTAATCATTTTACCAATCCAGGGTAAAAAACATATAGTACAAGGTTTGTCCAGGAGAAGTGACAGTCTAATACACGGCCGTTTTTCTCCATGGCAATTTTATACAGCACTTAAAGGTAACCCGAGTGAATCAAATTCCAGTTCAGTTCTCTCTGAAACTTAAGCCCGGCCCCAGTTTTCTAACCCTGATCATAAAACTTCAGGGTCACTTGGTGTTTATGGGGACCATTCAGTGTTCTGCTAAAAAACAATTATTTACCGAGGTGGAGGTGGCTAGTGGTGGACCCGGGACGCGAGAGGGGCGACACTGAGGTGAATAATTGTTTTAGTATATACTAAAACAGTGAGATAATTGAGCACCAAAATGATGATTTTCAACACATTTACTGTTGCCAATGATTACAATTTTGGGGCGCAATGACCGAACGGCCGCGGCCGTAGCTTTTTCTTGCCGACAAATAAACTTTTGAAGGCATTTGTTAAACTATACTTGAGGGGAAATTTCTTGAAAAGGAGTTGTGAATTCTCTTTTTACCATTCCGTTAAAAAAGTATTTTTAAAATTTAGTTTAAAGCTTATTTATGAACATGTCGCTCGCTCGGAGGGACTGGAGGTGAATCAGTGAATAGCGCTGGATAGTTACTGATTGAGTAGCCAATCAAAGCGCGCGAAAAACAATATCCACAGTTTTATTATATACTAAAAGGATATATTCTCCTGAAGATTTCAGGTATCATCTCCTAACTAAAAATCATCATCAGTCACCTCAAAAGGAGAGTTTTCAATAATTTTGCTGTCAGACTCAGGAAATCATGAATACTTGAAAAATGTTAACTGTTGTAGTGACCAATCACCGTAAAATTCAGTACACAAACCACAAACTAATTACCATTGCTGTTTGAGGTTTTGTTTTCTCACCCCCTATTAGCTTTTTCTTTGCAAGGCAATAGTATTCCTTATTATTTGTGGTGTTCATGGTTTTGTAACTTTCACAGTATAGGTGAACTCTTGTCACTTCTGTTGTAGGGGTATAAACAGTTATATGTACTTTTGATCACGGTTTACTAATAAAAAGAGTCTCCCAGGACACTATTTTAGTAGGTAGTGATGGTAATCGTTCAAATGCATCCACAGAGAAACCTGTTTAAGTTCCCTTATGGAGCCCATGGGTTACACATCTTTGGGGTTTTAAGGTTTGTTTTCTTTCTTAGGGGAGGGCTTATAACCAGTGGGACATTTTTCTTGTTTACTGGTAAATGAGCCTATAACTGGCGGACGTATAAGTTGGGGGGGGGGAGGCTTAGAAGCAGTAGTTTATGGTAGCCTGTTACGAACATTCAGGTATTGGGGAAGGTGCCAAGAGAACAACACTTAAAAAACCTGCATTTTTTATTAATTATGCTCTACTTCTCACTAACTGAATGCCTAGAACACTTTATCACGTAGCTGTACTTTCTTATCTGGAACAGTGAAATGTAGAGTAATATACGCACTGTATATAGACTGTAGGCTTTAAGAGATCCCCCTTAAGTAGTACACTTTGAGTAACACAACCTGAAAGCATTTTCTTGGGTAGCTGCACTCATTATGTTTTGAAAGTGGAGTTCCAGACCTGGTTTGAAATTGAGGATAGAATTTTGGATCAGGCCCGAAATAGGAAAGTCCAAATCACATAGTTTGGTCAAAATTTGGCAAGGCAAGAAGCATACTGTAGGGCCAACCTGAACTGATTTTTTGGGGGTACTCGCCCTTGCAAAATAGAATTGAGAATTCCTAGGATTTTCCTAAGAATTCCTAGGAATCAAGGTGTGAAATTTCATGGTAATTGGAACATTGAATTCCTAAGAATTCCTAGGAATTCCAAGCTTTGCTCACCCATCAGTTGGCTTGGAAAATATTCCTAGGAATTCTTAAGAATTCCTAGAGGAATTGAAAGAATATAAACAGAATGATTACTTCTTAGGGATTCCTAGGAATTTCCCAGGAATTCCTAGGAATTCCTTGCAATAGCTTGGAATAGCTAGGTCAATAGGGATGTAACAAATCGACCTGCTGCCCGAATTAAGGGATATTTGAATCAAAAACTGATTTGCATTTAAACTCTTATGTTAAGGAAGTTAATACTAGAAGTTGCTGTTTTGCTCTCTGAACCAGAAATCCATAAGGCAAATGTACAAAAACTGAAACAATGTTTATTCCAGTAATAACTGAAGAATAGCTCTCCATGTTAACTAAAAATACTTCTTCCGCTTTAACTTGACTTAAAAATTTCACTGCACTGATTGTTTAAATGTTCCAAAAATTACAACAGTGACCTCAAAAAATCTAATTTTAAGACAATGACTTTTTGTGAGGTAGGAATCAAATAATTCAGTATAATGACTGTAGTCCTTATATACATATTAATAAACGTTCTTGAAAAATAAATAATTATTTTGTTGTAAATAAATTGACCAATTTTCTCTATAATGATAAGTATATTATTTCTAATTGAATGTATCATAAATTATAATCTTGACATTAAATAAGCAGCAACCAATTCAAAATTAAACGAATAACTGCAAATACATACACTTAAATACATGTACTAAATTTTTAAGTGCAATGAGAAAATTTCTGCAACAATCATTATTTTCTAGAAGTTGTCAACTGTTTTTACAATCACAAAATAATTCATTACATTAAAATTTTCTAATAATCTGACCAGAAATTAAAGGTCAATACCATTAATCAAATTTTCAGAAATAGCCACTTTAATTTTTTTAACTTGTTGTGACATTATAATATCTTCCTGAGCTACAAACAATAAAATTTGCACTTAAATTTTCATAAAATTTCATCACTAGAAAAATAGTGTTAAGCCCTCATTACTAATTTACAAATGACGGATGGGGACCTCTGTGGGCATGGTCCACATTTGGCTTTGAGGATATGAAAGGGACTATTATGGATTTGACACATGGCACAGGAAATGATTATAGACAGGTACCAATAAGAATAATACTATATTTATCTCTAACAAAGAGAAGAAAAGATGTGTAGTTGCAGTTTTATTTCTCCCAAAAATCAATGTTAGATTTGAAAAATGTCATTAGTGGTATAAACATCCAAATTAGCATCACAACAGGCCGCACATATAGTGTTCTACCTGAAAGCAATAGTATTGGCTATTACTCTGCTGTCCCTTGCCCATTCTATGGCTACGTAAGTGTTGATTTCCCGTACAAATCTTTAAATACTTAGGATACACTTACATGGTATGATATGCAAAAGAAGTATTTACTATTCACTCAGATCATAGAGTTCTCCAAAGAAACAGGTTGTTGATACTTGTACATAGAAACAGTATGCAGAAATCCAACATAGTTGGTAAAACACCGGTAATCCTAGCCCTTCAACCCCTTAGAGTGACCAACAATAACAGTTTATCCTTACTATGATATTGTGTAGTTCACAACTTGCAGCTCCTGAATATTGTCACAGCCACTTACTTTTCCAGAGTCGGCTGCCTATAACTTCAAAAAAATTTGAAACCCCTGTACCTATATGTTCAAAGCAGGAAAATTCTAATACATACAATATTTAATAACTATTTCCTTTCAACAAGATGAATAATATAACATTTAATTTTCATTTTATCATGATTAGTAACATATATTCATTGTAATATAGCTTTTTAGTTAATTGTGGTTGTACTTCAGATTTTTTGAAGGAAAAAGTTAATACATTTTCTACATTTGGCAGGCATTAATTCTCTCAGCAGAATGTTACCTATGAAGACCATGTCATAAAAAGGAGTACTGATGACTTGAAGTGAAAATTTTCATGGACTATGACCTTTCATGGCCTTTTCATCTTAATGGCTCATGAAAATTAATCACTCACCCCTTTCATGGGGGTAAGGGAAGCAACACTAACACCATGAAATTGTCCTTAAAATCACATGAAACTGATCTGTATGAGCAATAACCACGTGTATGAAACCTAGCATCAAGAGCCGGGGGGTCCCTTGGCTATTATCAACGTGGAAGAAAAAATGGAAGGAAAATGGAAGAAAAATAGAACCAAAAAGAAATCCCTAGCTGTTTGATTCCCTGCTTACTTGTTGTATTAATATCCACCAACTTGAAATCTTAGTGACATCCCTACCTACATGTTTAGACAACACATAGATCTATATACATGTAGTGTAAAGTAAACTATCGCTACAGTCATGATTGAAAAAAAAAAAGTAAAACATAACCTGTTCAGGTGCAATCTCTAGATAGTGAGATAATGTAAAGTAACAAATACCTAGTCATGATTGAAAAAAAATATAAAAACATACCCTGTTCGTGGAATCTCTAGATAGTGTTTGTTTTTAATCCAAATGACAATATCAGCTGAATATTCTCTTTTTCGTAATTTATTTTATTCAACATACACATCACCACATTCCACATACATGCATGTGAATAAACATCTTCAAATAATTAATACAGTGCATGAATATGAAAAAAAAAACAAAACAAAATGACTGCTTTTTCCAATGTCGCCGATGCAGCCTTCTGAACTGAAGGTCCACACATCAGGCAAGTGCCAGTGCTAGTTGTTTTTGACCTTACTATTGCAGCGATTATTAAGATTACATGTACCAGAAGAATTTAATATATAACCTTATGCAACTTATACTATGAATTAAAGTTCAAATGAACAAACCTACCGGCTGTATTCTAATATTTTATATGTAAGTTCAAGTCTCAAGTCCTTATAAATTAACTGGAAAATTCATTGCTTCTAACTTGTATAGTAGCCATTGGAAACTCATACTGCTATTTTTTCTCCTATTTTATCTAACATTGGACTTGACAAGTCTGCTATAACCTTGTAGCGCCAGAACATACAGTTTTCAGAGTATTCCATTGACTATTTGCAACAAAGTAGGGTACAGTTATTTCGATCTGCAGTAAACAAAAAGCAGCAAAAAGGGATCTGATCAACGGCATATCTTTGCATGCATCTTTGAACTTTATAAGCTTATTTACGCAAAGTTATTAAAAAACATACCTTTCCATATTAATCCAGCTGAGTAAACTCACTTGCAAACATGCTTTATGTGAACACAAACTTCGCAATAGTGATCAATTTGTCTCGAAAATAACATGGATAATACGAAAATACTTTGTTGCTAGTCCGCGTGAATTTGAACTATTCAAGGGAAGTTCGTTTCGCACTTTTCTATTGGTTCAAAAGTCGCACGTGACAAGGTAAATCAAATCGTGCATGTGCCAAAGGCACGCGTGGAAGCCTGGGAAACAAGAAAACATGGCGGCTAATCTTGCGGGTCAGCACTCGTTAACATTCGTCGAAAGGCCCTCTTATCTTCGGTCGGATTTCGTAAACGTATGACGTCACGTTCGCCTCGAAGTTAAATATGTGATTCATCTGCACTTCGATCGTCTGTATCCGACTTGTTTGATTTTTGGTGAGAGATTTTGTCCCACTTTTTGGATCATTCCTCGATTGATTCCAATCAATTCAAACAAGAAGATGCCACTGCCTCCGTTTAAAGGATGTTTTGATGTTTCAAGTGTCTTCTTACTCCGCGGGGAAAAGGAACTTTTAGTGGATGTTACTTAATAACATCCTTTGAATGGCCCGAGATTATGGAATGCCGTTTGTATCAAAAATACTTCTTACCATATGTAAACCTTTACATTAAATATATAAAACATTTTGCTTTATGAATAAAACTTCTTAATTTTAGTAGTAAGGTTATAGTGCACAATTAAAACTTGTTACAAAATATATAAAACTTGTTGAAAAATATAAAACTTTTAACGATACATAAAACTTGTCAATATATAAAACTTGTCACGCAATCTAGAAAGGTGCAGGGGCGGTTGCTTGGCAAGGTCGGCATTATATTCTACCCACCAAAACCACATCGATCGAGAGGGACTGAGATTGAATTTTGAATAACTTAAAAGTCGTAACCGAAGATTCTCAGAAAATGTACGGATGATATGCACGAACAACCGAACATCCGAATACTAGATCGGACGTTCTAACCACTGAACCACCAGGGCTCTAGCGTTAGCGAGGTTGGAATTCTACTATACCAGTAGAGTGTACTACACTTCTGTACTGAGAGCTGAAAGAAAGAGAAAGGCTCGAGAAAGGCTGCGTCCATTTCACAGTTGTGGGGGTGCAGAAAATATATCAGGGGGGTACAGTTTCATGCATAATGACTGAGATGTTAGTAAGATGTTGGAAACGAGCAAAGCGGCGAGAACGAATCACGAAGTTCGCTGGTAAGTGCTCGTTCTTTCTCACGCGGAGAAAAATCAAGAACAACCTCTGGAGCCAGGGTAGCTAGGTGTAAATTACAGCGAGTTTTATATCCCCCCCCCCCCCACTGCAAGAAGAGGATTCTTTCCGGCATGGATTTTATGGACTATATTGACTTCCAAAATTATTTAGGATTGACTCCCAAAATTCTAAATTTGTAAGACTTCTGAATGTACATTCACAATTGCGTTTTTCGCTGCCGTTTCATAATTACGATCACAAGCAACGAACCTTGAAACACACAAACACACAAAACGGATCAAAATCCACCAATCACAAATCACAAACCTTGACCTTTTGAACCCGTTAAAGTAAAGTTTTGTTTTCTAAGAGGTCCGTTAAGATGATTGACGGCAGCGAAAAACGCAATCGTCAGTTGGCTTTTGAACTTCAGAATTCGCATGTTTGTGAAAAGCGCAGTAATAGATGAACCTAGGGCGCGATCCATTCAACCAAAATTCCAACTGGTCCGACCGGGAAAAGTGGTCCACCTCAAAAGGTGGACCCGTTTTTTCGAAACTTTTCCGGTTGGACCGAACCGGTCCATTGAGTTTTGGACCGAAATTTTCGGAAATTTTGGTTGAATGGATCGCGCCCTTAGATACACACCAAAGTTCCCAAAATCTTTGTCCACTTTGAAGCAGGAAAACTTGGTCGTCGATCTCGTTTCAAACTCTGCGATGAGTTCTCAGCAATTTTCCTATCGAACGCGGGTTCGTAACTTAAAATTCCCGCCATGATCTTCTTGTTTGTTTCCGGGGATAAAAGTAAAAAAATAAAATATTTTGTATGTGTAAACAATAACAACTTGTAAAAACCATGATTAAAATTTTCATTGTGTCAATAATTATTATGCTTTAAGAGTAGGGTCTTAAAAAGTCCGTCAGTACTTTGCAGAAGCGTAACTATAGGCCTAGAAAAATTAAAACCCTTGCCTCTTTGGAGATTTAACAATGGTTATAGGAAAGGGCTCATATGTGCGGTCTGGACAGGTCGAGTGGTTTTGGTGGATGTAGACTTCAACATCCACCAAAACCACCAACAGTGTTTGGGGCTAGATGTGTATCAAGCCCCATGAAATATCTGAAACATGTTTTAAAACTTTATGCACAATATTTGCCGAAATACAGTTATACTCGTTATATTCATCCTTTGTTGGCGAGAACGCGATCTCCCAAATATAATAAAGCTCAAAGCAAAAGAAAGGCGAATCCCCGAGAGGCGAATACATCAAAACATCGTAGGCATCTTTCATCTTTCCAGTCCAGCACCCAATGAAACCCTTTGCTTTTGCCTTACTCATAGTCTTTCTCTTGGCCAGTAATACATGTACCAATGCAATTGAATAGCACAATTTTTGCTTACGACTGTCGTACGCGTCTAGCACATGTCATGACTTTATGACAGATTGTCCAAAATTAGACACATGATGCATGCTAGTCACACATGATAGTCTTAAGCAAAAATCATACTGTCTAAATCAGCCTTTATTTAGTAGTCCGATATTATTAAAATTACAAAACAGGTTACATGTATGTAGGGATTCAGGAGCAAGCAATGTCAGTCATTAAACATTAACAAAAACATTTATAATAGTACTATCTGTTCTATGGATATTTTGCATGTTTAATTCAAAGTTGTGACAAAACTTTTTGCAGAAGGCCTTGACATGTGCAGTGTCCTATCCAGTCTTTCCATTATCCATGATTCATCGCGCAAAATGCATGTAAAAACATTCGCCATGATGGAGGACTAAAAAAGAGACTGCGAACCAACCCTTTGCCAAGCAACCGCCCCTGCACCTTTCAGGATTGCGTGACGAGTTTTATATATTGACAAGTTTTACGTATCGTGAAAAGTTTTATATTTTTCAACAAGTTTTATATATTTTGTAACAAGTTTTAATTGTGCACTATAACCTTACTACTAAAATTAAGAAGTTTTATTCATAAAGCAAAATGTTTTATATATTTAATGTAACAAGGCTCGAAATAATTTCCGGAGAGACTTCAGACACGATGACCGGCCAAATTCATTTTAACTCGGTCACTTATCGTTTCTGGCCGGTCAAATTTATGAGACAAATAACTCTTAAAACAAGGGCCACAAAACAGCTGTGGGTTCAGATATTTCGCGGGGTCGAGGGGCTGCGAAATTTGTTAGAAATCTTATCTAATACATGTCGATACAACATTTTGAAACTTATCTCGGCTATTGGGGCTGTTAATTGCCGTCAACTTCATCCCCACAACGAGCGAACAACATTCCAAAACTACCAGGCATAAGTTATGTTGGGGACAACTGGGCACTAGTCATGATGTTTTAAAAAGCTTTGCCACTGGCTCATTTCTCGAGACACTCACTGAAGCCATGTTTACATAAATTCATGTCAGATTTATTTATTTATTTATTTATTTATTTATTTAGGCTTACTTATTTTATGCTTTGTAATTAAACTGTACGTTTTGGTTTGAAGCCATTGATACTATGAAGTCTTCATCTACACGATATGTGCAAGTTATTTCTTAGGTTGCCCTTCAGGTCAGTGGGTTTGTTCAAGATTTTTTGTAATATGTTTCTTTAACGGTACATCAATGAATGAATGGTGGAATCAATACTTTTAATTCAACTTAAGTAACCTCTCAGAGTTTTGACTTGGCTTCTTGTTGTTTTGTCAAAAATATTTCCTGTAAAAACTGAAAGGGGAGGGTCCAAAGAATTTGGAAATGGTATCTTCCCATCTGCATTAGCCCTTTCCTCTCTGTAAATAATCCCCACTCCCTGATTTCTTTGAGGTCTTGCTTGAATATTAGTTTATAAGTGTACCTTAAAGCCTCTTCTGCTGTAATTGTTCCTTCAACTTTTACAGTAAAGGCATGTCATTTGTTTTTTGTTTTCTTGTGCGTTATTGGCTGTGTGATTTGACTGGTGGGTCGATTTTGGTGCACTCTCGATCCTCTTTTCTCTCTATATATGATAATTTGTTTTCTTATTCAGCATCAAAGTGTTGACCAAATTACACTGGAATTATGCTGCTTGTGAGAGGCATCTGTTCAACTGAAATGCCCCATACAGTGGCGCATCCAGACCTTCAGATAAGGGGGAGCCTGGTCATCCAGACCCTGAGATAAGGGGGGAGGGAGGGTGGTGTCCAAAAAAATTTTTTTCGGCCCTTCAGGCCTCAGTTTGGTCCAAAAATAAGGGGGGGCCCGGGCTCCCCGGGCACCTCCCCTAGATCCGCCACTGCCATAGAGAGGAGTATTAAATTTTGCTATAGCTATGATCTATCATGTGGGCAACTATTGTGCAAAGAATTTTAGGTCTGATTTGACCGATCTATATGGATGTTTGTTACTACGAAAAGATGTATACTTACAACAGTTGAGATAAATGCAGATTTTTAACATAGAAATTAACTGCTGTGAACCCAGATTATTGTCTGTTAGTAAGAGGTGCATGTAATCTTATTGGAAGTGTTGGTTAACAGAGGCTCTGTACAGTACGTGATGGAAATTGGGATTTTTTCCCCTGCTCAAGTTCTGTGCAAACTAAATGTTAATGCTATAACAGCATTGAATGTTAATGCTGCCATTTACAACAGTAGTTTAACCCATTCGCCCCTGAACCGCCCGTAACCGCCCGTGCGGATCCAGGTCCTTCCTACCCTTTGTGACGTCATCAGTTTTAACGGTCAAGGACAACTTTCTTCGCTAACTTGTGCAGAGTGAAGAGATCTTTCAAACCATACCAGAATGAGCACAATTCAGTCAAGGACACCGGAGAAAGAGGCAAAAAACCACGTGACAAGGACCTGAAAATCCTCATGAAAATCTTGTTCCATTACCCACCTACCTTTCCTTTCACCTAATCCTAAGATCCGGAAAGCTTTCCTAAAAACTCTTCCCACCAAAATGAAGCCTACTAAATGCCCAGCAAGAGAAAAAAAAAATGAGGCAAGAAAAGCGAAAAAAGAAGGGAGGAGAGAAAGCGAAAAGTAAAAGTCGAAATTTTGCTTTCTGCGCATGCCCGAACTTCGCAAGCTGATATTTTGCATCTGGATCAGAAGGCCGCCAAGTGTACGACCTGTAAACCGGTTTGTGGTAAGTTTTAGGTCTTTATAGCACGACAGTGACCAGAAAACCACTCGACTAGCTTCAAAACGCGTTTTTCGGCAAAATCTCCAGGAGCGAATGGGTTAAGAACATGAGTGATGTTCAGAATACTGAAAGTTTAAAAATATTTCATTGTCTAACAATGTAAATTATAATCATTATAATCATTACTATTACGTTATTATTATATCAATTACAGTGAAACCTCTATTAAGCAGGCACCTTTGGGACCTTCCCAAGTGTCTGCTTAATAGAGGGTGTCCGCTTAATAGAGGTTTTAAAAATTGCACAGTGTTTGTTAATGATCAACATTTAACGGTTACTCTGTACTGTGAAAAAGTTGCATGTCGTTAAAGAAGCTATCCAGAGTTCAAGTTCATTACCTTTCATTACCAAGTTAATTTGTTTGTAGATGCAAAAACATTAACTGACTTCAGTAAGTATTTCAAGGACGTAATACAATACTACTATTGTCAATTCAGTCTGGTGTCTGCTTAATAGAGGTTTCTAACAATAGAAATTAGCCAAATATAACTTATTTTAGTGTCCGCGTCCACTTAATAGAACGTTAATAGAGGTGTCCGCTGAATAGGGGTTTGTTAAAAAGGGAAATATCAGACGTCCGTTTCGGGACCCGGCTTAGTGTCTGCTTAAGACAGGGTGACTGCTTAATTGGGGGTCCACTTAATAGAGGTTTCACTGTAAAATATTATAGTCATTGCTATTACAAATTGTGGCAATACTATCCAAAATATGCTTACCATGCAGACAAACTCAGCCTCAGTCATAGCTGTTTGCTTGAAAGGGAATTGGCTTTAATGTAAATAGCAGGGGGGTGTTGCTTGCCCCCACCCCCCTTCCCTACCACCACCGCAGCCATGTTTCTCAACCCAAAATTGGTCAAGTGGAAATGTTAAGATTTTATTGAACACCAGTTGTAGCATCCAGGGCGCACGTTTTCTACCCTCCAACGACTCAAGAAGCACCATGAAGCAGGATTGTTTTAGCCTTTGTTTGAACAACTGCCTACTTATACATACCCGGCCAACTTTCGATTGCGGATTCTATGGACACTGTTAAGATCTCAGAGAGGTTTGCTTGAGCCAATGAACTAAGCAAATGACACTTTGGGAAGTTGGAGTAGGGCTATGGTCAATGGCCCACTTTGTATATAAGAGTGGCAGATCTAGGAGAGGAGCTTGGGAGGCCCAGTCCCCCTCTTATTTTTAGATCAAACTGAGGCCACGCCCGAAGGGCCGAAAAATTTTTTTTTGAGACTTGGCCCCCCCCTTATTTCAGGGTCTGGATGACAGGGTGCCCCCCCCACCTTATCTGAAGGTCTGGATCCGCCACTGTATAATAATATAGCTACTACTCACCTGTGCCTCTCAAACCTTTGCTTGCCTTGTAGTCCTTGTAGAGAGGACAACTTAGTGCAAGAAATTATGGTTTTCCGTTGTTTAATACTGATATACTTAGCTTTCTTTTGCTGTCTTTCTTTTTGTACTCGTCTTTTTTTGTGTGAATGTTTTGTGTAGCAGTGTGTGGTGTGCAGTACCTGACCCTTTAATATAATCATTTATAAATAACCTAAGTGAGGCTGCCCTATCTTTTTAGCCCTAAATGGTTATTATGGGCAGCCTGTACTCTCTATATATTTATCTCATTTTTTTGTATCATGTAAATCAATGTATGGCACAGCTGGGTACAAATAAAGTTGATGTTGTTGAATTGGTGTTGTTGCCGCAAGCATTCGACATTGACAGACATTACACACATGGATGATTCTCTATTTTTTTATATTCCCGCCAATATTTGAAATTTGTTAAATGGGGCAGCGGTTCATTTGAGTTTTACTTGCTTGCATTCGATCCGGGGCCATTCAAGTGATGTTACTCAGTAACATCCGCTGAAAGGACCTTCTTGATGCGCCAAGAGGCTCGATCGAGGCGAAACATTAAAACATCCTTTCCAAACAGATGCAGTGGCATCTTCTTGGTTTAATCAATCGAGGGATGAACGAAGAAGCAAGACAAGACTTCGAAACAAACATCAGATCATCAGACGATCGAATTGAAGCTTGCGTGAGTCACAGGGAAAACGAGGAGGAGAGCGTGACGTCATACGTTTACGAAATCCGACCGAAGACAAGAGGGCCTTTCGACGGATGTTAACGAGTGCTGAACAATCTTGCGACGTGCTCCCGTTTGGGCCCGGGGGGGACTCCCGTATACTCGTCGGAAATTTTGAATTTAACCCCTAAAGGAGGCCATCTGGGCGTGGCTCAAGCTTTTTGTGACCCCTAAAGGAGACCAATCTGGGCTTGGCTGAAGCAAATTTTGACCCCTAAAAGAGACCGCTTAAAAACACACAAATACGACATGCAACGAGTTTTAATGATATAAAGACATAACAAACAAAGTTAAAAAGAAAATTAACTTCTGTTTCTCTTCGCGTAATTCTGTGTTTCTTCGCGAAACCCTAAACGAGACCTTGGCGGCTTAAAATATTGGCGCTTTGCCCGGAACACCCTAAGCGAGACCAAAATCCAAAATTTACGTAGTTATTTTCAGCGTTAATTAAGATGAAGCAACGCATTTGAAGTGTTAAAAGCAAGAGGTAAACTTAACGTTGTTCTTTTAAGTTGGGAAAGAAAATGTTGGACCACATTATTAATCAAAGAACTGCGACGAAAAACGTGTTGTGGCCGTTGTTCGTGTTGGACAAAGCTCACAGGTTAGTGTATGGAAATCTGATCTAACCAAAGACACCTTGATCACACCAAGACCACGCCATTTTATTGCCTCAAGGGATCATTCATTAGTTGAACGAACTGTATCAAAAGGAAGCTCAAAAAGATTGCAAAGCAAGGAACTGTTCGCATGTTCAAGTGGACTTTCGACCTACGAGGAACGGTAAATCCGAAGAACACATTACAGTAAGAAACAGTTATAAAAATGGTAATGATCCTTGCAGTTAAATGGACATGATCTAAGTGGTTGAACAAGTACCTGAAAAATCGGGAATCGAATCTTGACCTTAGGAGAAATGACATGAATGGAAATAATCGAGCTTACATGAAATGACTTTTTTTTTTGGAAATGTGGATATAGATATGAAAGTAGAAATGATCCTCGCAGTAAAGTAAATTACCCATGCGGCTGAAAAAGAACCATACGGAAAATTCAGAATAGAGGGTACTTCAATATATTTCGGTATGGTTTTTATATAAGTTTTGCAGAATCGCTTTGTCATCAGATATTGAAAATTAGCTTTATATTATTTCATACATCTATATATACATAATTCAGTGTTGCTGCTTTTGAGGAAAAAGTTTTTTATCTGAGTGGAAACAAGCAAGATTTGTGTTTTGCCAGAATGCCAAACTTTGTGGAAAGAAACTGGTGGACTTGTTGTAGCCTTATGATCTCTGTTTTTCCCTTTCTTGCACTAATTTCTTATATTATATTACATTATTAACTCTTTTCTATTTACCTAAAGAAGTTTTGGTCTTGATCCTGTAAAAAAAATGCATTTCTAATTGTCATAATAATAAATAGGTAGAAATATTGTAACAAAATTGTTTCTAGTTCTTATTTCTGTCACTTGTAGAACATGGCCACAAATTCTTGGCTTTCCCGGCTTCTGGTTTTCTGGCCGGGAAGGCCATGAAATGCTGGCCTATTTTTTAGTGTGGCCGGAAAAGCCACGCTTCTATGGCCAGGCTTACCTCAAAACCCTGGCCTTGACCGGGCTTACCAGGCTTTTCCGGGCCATGCTTTCCTGGCAAGCCCGGCCAAGATCTTGGCAAGTCTGGCCTGGCCGGGCTTGGCCGGGCTTGGCATGCTTTTGACCACACTCCTGATGCAAGGGTTGAGGCGAATCAAGACAGCCCATGTCTTGTGTGTTTGACTAATTTCCGTGGAGTATGTGGATAAACAACGTACATTTCAGACTGGAAATACACTTCATATTTTTAAAAACGAGACTTCTCATTTCAGACAACATTTTGCACTGAAAGTGTACTGGACATGTAACAGCCTTAAATATTTATTGCTGCAATATGCTGTAATAATGTAATTTAGATAAGTTAAATTGTTATCTTAATTTAAATACTGGTTGGAGGTTTGTTACCAGATTAGGTAACATTGGGTTGAATGTAAAAATGTAAGTATAGAAGGATACATTACCAACTTATGTTCTGTATTATAAGTTTAGAATAATTGTTTTCAGTGCTATCACTTAACAAAATTAAAATGTGAAAAAATAAGAAAAGACTACGAAATCTTCTACAATTTTTTAAGTCTTTCTGATTTCTTAATATCCCTGAGCTGAATTCCTAATTTGCATAACTTAGAATTCCTAGGAATTCCCAGGAATTTCAAGCCCAGTTGGCATGAATTTTTCTATTCCCAGAAATTCTCAACAATTCTTAAGCTTCTAAAATTGTAAAACTTAGAATTCCTAGGAATTCCTAGGAATTCCAAGCCTAGAGTGAGACCTAATTTGCCATTCCCAAAAATTCTCAAGAATTCCAAGCTTATTTGATGAAGGCTGATTTGCATAGTTGGGAATTTTTGGGAATTCATTTCGCAAGGGAGTGCCTCACCCCTAAACCCCACCCTCTGCAGTTGTATTGAATCTGAATGTGGTGCTTTATAGAGTTAAAATTCAATTTCTGCTCACAGCTTTTGATAATTTATAATTGTTTAGTTCCCTAAAAATTCATTATCTCGTGTTATGACATGAGGGTTCCCAACTAGGAAAAAGTTTTACCAGAACTCTGAATCAATGACCAGTGGAAGCAAGTTTTAATTTGGCTCATCATTATTTGCCAATAACCAAGTAAACTAAGATGCCCTATGCTTCAGTGAGCCAAGCTGTGTGCAAGCTCAAGGAGGGGTGGAGAGCAGGTGTGGTTAGTATTGGCGATTAAACTATGATATTACTGTTGATCAAGCTATAATGTTATCCACCCTATTAAAGGTGACATACTGCAAAATCCAGTGTTATGATCAACAACCACTTACCCCAGTATGATGCAAAATAGACTACTCTAGACTGCTGTTCATTTATAATTGTATTTATTAACACGTCAGTTGTCCAACGTTAAGTTTTCTTTTTTTTTTTGAATTCTTAAACCAAAAGGTTGAGAACATTGTGCTACCTTATGTAGTGATCAGATAAATAACATAATTGTTTATCAAGAAAAATTGTGCAATAGCTGCTTTTTGTTAACTGTTTATCAGTTATTAATAACCCCAGAGCACCTTGTTTATATTTGTCAAAATGCCACACGACTGGAAGCCAAGCAAGGACTGTTAGGATGAGAGTATCTTCTTGCAAAACGTTTGTAGCAAGTCAACCACATAGCCTTTCCTTTCACAGCCCAATTCTTACTGTTAAAACAAAAATTATCAGAGGGCCCTCAAATTATCTAACCATGATTTAAGCATTAATTCAGCAGAAGAAAACGTAGATTGGAAAGAGTACTTGCCCTATCATCTTTACAAAATTCAAAAATTGCCTTTTGCGAGCAGCCCAAAAAGATTCATAACCAATTCAGTTCTGGCTTTGTGCACTGCCATTAGTGGTCTTATCATAATGAAATAAAGGCTTATACCAAAATATTATCTTGACCTCAGTTTTGCAAAGGAGATGTAATTTCAACAGAAAACACAATAAATTAAGAGCACATTGCAATAAACTGGATAAACTTAGCGTACATATCATTTCTGTAATATAGTCGGAGCTTGATTTCCTTTCCTACTGTAGCACCAACGAATATCTAGAAGAATATAATTAGACAACTGATTAGACTAATTAATAACGCCATACCAGCCAGTATGAGTCGCTCTATTTTGACGAGCAAGGAGCAACAGGACAAACTCAGACCCTTTTTTTTCCCGGATGCGCGGTCGATACAGAGGCAAAGTTTAGCGCACAACAAAGGCAATACCTTTTTTGTTAAGGCTCGTTGTCTTGGTAGAAACTTCTCAAACTTTACCTTCAGTTATCTTCAGTGCCATTGGATACAAACAAAACGGGATTGTCGCGATCAACGAAAATCAGGCATGGATTTCATGCAATTATCACAGGCCGCATTCTGCTTTGCTCAATTCAAGAGCGCTCGTCTGCTGGGCGGCAGGTCGTGGGTTAAAACCCCTGCCGAACCAACATTCAGGGTCATTAAATAACTGAGAAGAAAGTGCTGCCTCTTTAATGACATCTCTAAACCGTTAAGCTAGGTGGAAACGGACGCAACAACTACCAACATTGTTGGGCCAACAATGTTAAGAGTTGTTGGGTCCGTTTTCACTGACGTATCTAAAAGTCTGACTCGTTTCAAAATTTGCAGAACAACTCCCAACAACACGCAAAAACATGCAACAGAGTATGCAAAAACTCACGCAGCAGGTAACACTTATGTTGGGAGATAATGGCCAACAATGTTGCGTCCGTTTGCACGGGGCTTTAGACTTTCTAGTCTTCTCGGAAAAAAAGGAGAAAACCGTGGGTCTCGTAGTCAGACCCCGTTGGTGTGGCTACCCTTTCCTGGGTTATCTGATCCTCCTTCAGGAGTGGTAATGACCACCTGTAAACAATGACTGTATGTATGATTTAGTGTTAGCTCAAAGTCTCGATCCTTAAGGTACATATGAGGACTTGTAGGTCTAATTGAGCTTCGAACGTGTGTTCAGTATAGGTAAATATTCCTTTAACCATCTAGACCACAATTGAGAAATCAGCTTTTGAATTTTCTCCCAATTCTTCCTACTCGAACCTTGTAATATCTATACTCACCGGTGTGAACTGTCCTCCTATATGCCAAGACCAAAAAAAAATGTTTGGACGCGACACCTTCAAAGCTTGCTGATTAATGACTCAGTGGCCCATAAATAACCAAACTCTCCGCGCCTTTAAAGCTGATTAGTTCTTCGTAGGTGACACTACTGTCAGCTAAACCTACATACAGATTTTCTTCTCACACTATCCCATGTGCCTCACCAATATAAGAAGCACCTGGAGAGGAGGGGTTAAAATGCCACTCGACCTCCCCCCGTTAAGTCTTTGGGTGAACCATTTCTTTGTCGATCCACAAGTTCTTCACTAGTTCATTGACTGCTACATCGAAGTCGTTTCCATTATCATGAACCATTTTTTGGCTTTCTTACTCCATTTACTATTTGAAATGCCCAACAAATGAACAGTGATTCTTTCTGTCGGGTCCATTTTATGTCATTTCCCCCATTGGTCAGTTACTCGACAGTTTCAGGTTGTGAACGGGCATTACTTTTGTCGTGTTTGTTTGGTTTTTCTCTCAGTCGACATCCTTCGATAGTTATTTTGTATTTTTGAGGTAGCCAGTTAAGCTAACGATTCATCAATCACAGCGGCGACAAATCTGTCAGTCGAGGAACGTTTTTTTTAAATACAAGTCATGAGACATGAGACATACGTCAAGCCAGTTTCCCTTTTTCCTTCCTTTTCTTTTTAGGCCCAGTATGTGTAGCGTCTATTGCCGGCCCGTACAGGAAAGGAAAGTCATATGTATTAAGCGAGGCTTTCAGTCAACCACAAGTATTTCCTCTTGGACATCATTTCACTCCTGAAACAATGGGAATATGGCTATGGATAGTACCAGGAGTGTTTAAGGTTAATGTTATTCTGGTAACGATATTGAATGAAATACCATACAGAAAAAAAAAAAAAGCCTTTTTTGAGGGTCTATTATAACTGATTTACTTAAAAGTCATTGGTGGCCCTTTTTCAGTGTCAAGTCTTATAAAGCTGGAAATGTTAATTTCATTGAAATGGGATCCATAAAATTACCGTCGACTTATTCAGTACATTATGGATACTGAATAAAGAATTAAACCGAATCAGTTTTAGTTGATAATTTCTCGATGCGACAGATTTTCGTCAATACGCGCTTTAAGATTATTAATATTATTAATATTGTTATTTTTGTTATTGTTGTTGTTGCTGTAATTTAGTGATACTTAATTGTTATATATTTTTATTATTACTATAGTGTCTCTAAACGCCATACGAAAATTAATTCTTTCTATATTTTTTAGGATTCCAGGGGCCAGGAATTCCAGCTAATACTACTTGATTCTGAGGGAATTGACTCTGTTGGTAGTGAAGGTTATGATGATAGCCAGATTTTCACTTTGACGGTTTTACTGGCGTCGGTTTTAATATACAACTCTCAAGGTGTTCCTACACGGAAAGATCTTGAACAGCTAAAGTATCCTCTTAACTATTTCTAAAGTATATTTTCATTGAATTATGCTGAGTATCATTAGATGTGAAGAATTTACAGATCGAGGAGAATAATAACAGAGGATGACAGCCTTCGAGATCTACATGATCCTTCACATCATACGAAGGCCGAATTCAATTATTGTTTTAACTACCTCTAATACCTTGACTTAAAGAAATCTCGTCTCCTGGCCGTAAGCTAGGTTTTACGGTTTTACCCGTTTTTCGGTACGTTTTCAGGATATAAACAGACGTTTTTTTCTTGGAGATACGTCTTTGAAAAGTGATAGACGTCATTCATGGAGCAATATTTTTGCGAAATTTTGCATTTCTGCCATTCACTTTTAGTGAGAAATTCGGCTATATTATCTTATTTATTTATTTACTTACACCACCACTTGATATACGTTTGAGAGTTAGTGTGACATAAAAAACTTTGTACGGAATATTTTCCACCGATACGTTTTTACACAAAGTCCTAGAATTTGGTATGACATTTTGCCCCCCAACTCCGCTCCTCATGGCTAAATTGCGCAAGTTTTTACATAAGAGCCAAACTGTGGAAAAAGCAGACAAAATTGCCAATTCGCGGAGGTAACTCTAAGGGACGTCAGATTGGCTCTCCTTTCGCATAAGAAGAACTTCTGATCTTATGTAAAAGAACTTCATAGATAGAACTCGATCATGATTAGCCTTTGCAACACATACAAAAATGAAAGCCTCACTGTTAGTTTTTTTAAAATGTGGAGTTGAGGGGACAAAGGCGCCTTCGTCAGTGCTGTTGCTGTATATGCTAAACTTCTTCGTAGATTGCTTTCATTTGGTCTTTATGCTACAATAATGGTCAGTCTATTAAGGAAACGTTTATTTTAACCTGTTCGTTAAAGATCAACACCCTTTTGAGCCAGCCCACCCAAGTCTTATCCTTCAAGCCAGGTAATTTGACCAAAAACCCAATTCCGGAATGCCTGAAAATCATGTCCTATACTGGTATTTCAGTTAACTTTAACAGGCATTAATTTAATCTTTACAAAGAGTTAAACGTCCTTCACTAGGTTTTCTAGCTTTATCGTTAAGCTCTCTCAGAGCATAGAGGTGCAACCTCAAACAGAAGCTGCAGCTGGAAAATCGCAGGAAGCCTCAAAGTTTTTCTATAAAACATTTCCTTTCTTCATCTGGTTGCTACGAGACGTCACTCAGGACATTCCAACAGACTGTGTCAACATCAAAGACTACTTCCTAAAGATGGTATACTTAATTTAGATTGCCGTGTGTGTTTAATTAGGAATCATTTTCAGCAGCTGTGCATCATTAAGCATTAGCTCTGCATGCATGCTAATAGCTAAATGAAGACATTAAAGCATAGTTAGATAATACTGAACATTGTTTTCGTTTTGACCCTAGCAGAACTCTTGTTTTTTTTAGCTCGAAGAAATTATTGCTCACACGATATGTAGTCGAAATGCTCGTCGCCTTAAAAAAGAATGAAAAGTGTTTTAGATATTATAGAGGATTGAGTAAGTCCTATAACCTTTCTTGCGCTATTCATATGGCTTTAATTTTATGCAAATAGTCAGCTTAGATGTTAATCTTAAGCTTTCGTTTGTCACGTCAGCCTGGGTAAAAATCTGACTTAACTTTGCTTAATTCATACAGGTTTTCAAGGTTCGCGATTCATCATCAGCTGAAAATCAAGATGGCCAGAAGGTTGCTGATAGCATCCTAGGTTATTTCTCTGGTTTTGAAGCGTTTTCGTTACCTCCTCCCACTGTTGAGAAAGAGCTGCTGAAGAAAATCAACGATAACAAAAGTCAAATAAATCCTTCTTTTTTCCGTGGATTAGATCAATTTAAACGGATGCTGGGAAATATTCTGACCCCTAAAAAGAGCTTTAATGAAGGAGAGCTGGTTACTGGAGAAGGTACAGGTTTTTTTCGTAATTTGAAGTGAGGAGGATACCAGCTTCATTTACTATAGCAATGACACGTATGATAGGCAAGTTTCTAGTCGATATTAGTTTGTTTCACCACGTAGGGAAAGACAGGGGGTCTTAATGATTTTTCATGTTCAGACTTCTCTCTTCTTCGAATTATTTATCTTATAGAAGTATTGTTTTTGAGGCTAACGTTGAAAGTTCTAATGTTTCTGTCGATATTAGGCAGGAATACGGAATATTCTTTTTGCAGGCGAACAATAGTGAGCCCCCAGACTACTCTTGGTCAGCGGCACTTTATAAAAACTGTATAGCGAGGTTTTTCCAAAATCTGTCCACATTCTCGAGATGCCCTAGTTGTGCATATATGCTTGGTATCTGACCGCGAAGGCCCCAGTGCAACGCTGCCAGCAATGGCAAAAACGGCGAATCTGGCAAAAATTCACCAAAGGCTTAGCGAAAATTTAAATAAGACTACAATAGCAACTCCTGGTAAAGTGGCAAAGTTGATGAGAATGACGAATCTGACAAAAGTGCTCAGATATGCTGTATGTATGTCTTGTTCTTAAAACATATCTCCAAGTATGCCATAGTCTAGAATTCATACTTCAGTTTACAAGGGCCATTTTGAATAATTGAATTTTCTATTTTTGTTGTATATAAAGTAGAAAAATTGTTAATAGTTCCAGTGCAATTTTTGGCCCAACTTTTGTCTTATTATAGCCAGGATCATGAGTTTATCACTTTGTAATTACCATTTAATATGTACAGTAAACGAATCACATTGTGACTTCCATCTCAGACTACACCGAAACTGAATTGTTGCCAATATGCTACTCTAGCATTGCAGGACAATTCCGTTGTTGGTTCACTGCATTAATCAATCTTGGAGTTTTTACTCTTAAATTATACACTTACACTTTCTGTAGATATCACCTTCCAAAACATCTGCGAATTACAAAACAATGCATATCATTTTCACAAAAGCTATTTTTCAAATTACCCGTTCATGGATTCACGACCTGGGAACTACTCGTGGAACCTCGTCACCAGGACCTGAAAAGTCTTTTTACCTCAGGAACGACATTTGTTGTCAATGCTAACATAGAGTTAGCCTGCGAGCAAGTTCTCTGGGGCGCCTCGCCGTCAGAGAGCCCTGGAGAACTATATCATTTACTTGTTAATAACACTTTGGCGAATTTTCGCCAAATTCCACATTTCCTTCTTTGAAAGAAGCCCTTTGCAGTATCATGTGAATTTTGGCAAATATCAGCGATATTCACAATTTTTGCCAAATTCGCCATTTTCGTCATAATTGCAGCTCTCATAGGAGCTTTTTGCCATCTCGTTTGAATTTTTGCTGGTACTTGGGCGACTTTTTGCCATTTTGACAGTTTTCGCCAAATTCGCCATTTTCGTCAAAATCGCAACTCTCAAAGGCGACGCATGATCATTTTATTTGACTTTTTATAAAGGCTTTGGCGAACTCTCGCCATTTTCGTTAAAATCGCAACTTTTCTAGGGGCTCCTCTGCCATCGTATTTGACTTGTGGCTAACTTTAACAGGCATTAATTCGTTTTCGTCAAGGGGACAATTTGCTACCTCATAGGAACATTCGCAAACCGTGGCAAGAGTTTACCAATTTTGCTATTTTCGCAAATTTCAAAGGACCCCTTTGCCATCTCACTTGAATTTGTGATAAGACTTTGGCGAATGTTCGCCATATTCGCCATTTTCGCCAAAATCGCCACTCTCAAAGGGAACCCTTTGCTTCCTCATAAGAATATTCGCCAAACTTTGGTGAATTTTCTCCATTTCCCTTTTTTCCCGGGTATATTACGAACTAATTTAAAGTCCAGTTCCAAGGTTGCTTGCTAGCTCAATTGGTAAGAGCGCTGCACAGAATTTTTTCAGGCTTTCTCAGTTTCGTAACTCCATAAGTTACATATTTAACTTTGATGATCGTCTCTGTATTTATAGTAACTGTTCCTAATGTCGTTTTCTAGGTCTCGCTGCACTGGTTCAGTTCTACGTCGAAGCAATTAATAGCCCAGGAGTAATTCCTAATATTCAGAATGCCTGGGAAACCTATGTGGAGATGAAGTGTTCCGAGGCTATAAGAGGGGCTGTGAAAAAATACGAAGGGGTTATGAAGTCAAACCTGAAAGACGAACGTCCTTGTGATAATGATGAATTGCGCAAGATCCATGGGACTGCATTAGAAAAAGGTGAAGGCTACTTCATGACAGAAACCGTGGGAATTTCAACAAGCACCACTGAGAAGCACCTAAACAAACTGAAGGTTGGTATAAAATGAGGCAGCTGTCGATGGTAAGAATTGGGTAGGATGGAGGGGTATGAAGAAACATGAAGATAGCTGAGCTTGTTACGCAACAACCTAATGGATAATAGTCAGCCTTTTATAATGGCTTCAGTATAAAACATAAGAGCCCACCAAATACAAAATACCGTCGGTTGCATCTATGTTCTAATAGGGTGCCAGACAGAACGTATTTTGCCGCCAAACATTTGAAGTTTAACGGCCGTTAAAGCAAACTATTGCGCCAAAAATAAGTTGTTCTTATGTTTTTGATCGACCTGATCAGCGTGCTCCGCTCATAGTTCATTTTTCTCGACTTTCAAACATATTTCTCGCTCAGAAACAGCGCACTTGCCTCCCGAAATTATTCTTAACGTCTAAAAATTCTTCCAAAGAATATTTTGTTGAGCGAATACAAATCAAGTCGACAACACCCGCCTAATCCAAACTTGGAATGTTTGGCGACAAAATATGTCATAATCTTTACTGATATTTGGATTTTTTCTTTTCTTTTATGTATAATATTTGTAATAATATTTTTATGTATAATATATGTGATGCGCATTTACTTTTGTACCAAGTTTATGACATTTATCTGAATTATTATTGTATTTGTTATGCCTCTATCCTGTCTTTTCTCATTTTCATGATCAATTATCATAATTATCGTGGTCACCCAACTAGTTCAGATTTTAAAAGTTATTTTGGGTGTCCAACAAATACTGTATGTAATAATAGTTCTTATTTATAGTTCTTAAAATTTCTTTTAGTCTACAGTAGAAGAAGTAAACTTTTTGTTTGTTGGTAAGTAAGTAAGTAATCGGTTTAATAACAGTGTTTTCACATTGTGGCTCTTCATCAGTTACTTATAGCGGAAAAAACGTAAAAATAAAAACATGCATCAAATGTTTACAATAAAACAACACTATATAAAGCAGAACAAATAACTATTAAAAGAGAAAGTATTTACTAGGATCGTGTGAATAAAACTCAAAATATAATTAACAAGAACACGTTTTTGAAGCGTACACTTCGGCGTTGCGGAAAGAAGGTCAGGTTCTTTTCGATATCATAACAAAGCTTCAATTTTTTACAAATCACCTTGTGGCTTAAACTTATATAGTCACTTATTGGAAAATTACGTGTACACAGGCGTAAACACTTCCTTAAAATCTTATTTCCATATTTCATTGCAATTCTCTTCTTTCGTACTTAGACAACAAATACACCTTTCCTCGTTTATGAACCTGTTTGTTACTCCCCTTTGAAAAAAACTCACATTTTTTCCTTTATACGCATTACCTCTTTAAACGAGAATTTGCACATTTTATATAACAATAAATCACTTGGGTATTTTTTCCGGATACCCTTCCATACAAATGCCCTTGCTTCTCTCTTTTTGTGTAAGAGACGTTAACTTCTGCACCGGAAATCTGCTTGGTGCATGCCGGTGTCGCTGTAAGCGAATTCGATGATCATTTCCGTTATAAATAAATTGCGCATAACGAGATCTCAGTTCAACTTTCTTTATTTCCTCTACAACAACAGTTTCCTTATCTTAAACTTGCTGATAATGCACAATCTCCACACTGAGGATAATTCATGTGCAACACCGCAACATAAATTATTACATGGAAAACATAATATAAACACGCAGTACAAAAGCAAGCGTGAAAACACCTACTTTTCCAAAAAAAAACAAAAAAAGAGGAAGCCAGGATAATGATTCCTATCACAACCTGTACGAAACGACGATAACTGCTTTCTTCTTCCTCTTGTTGACAATCTGTCGGTTGGTCTACACACAACACAAACGACTGCACCTCTTTCTCTTTCGAATTACTCTTGCTGCAATCTTCTTCAATTGTCCAAATCCCTTCACTCTTAAACGTTATACACATTCCTTTTGCAAAACGTTTCTCCAGGTAACTTGAGTAGTATAATATGTTGAAAGATAAGCCCCGTTAGTGTCTTCCCCTGTCTTCTCCTGTCTTCCCTTTATTAATATGCATAAGGGTCGAGTCCATGACGTCACCTATTGTTATAACCTAGAGAAAAATGCGTTCCTACATACTAATTTTAAAAGTGCCTTCCTCCATACTAATAAGGATACTCGACAAAAATACGTTCCTCCATATTAATTAAGTGTCTAGTCAGTGTCTTCCTCCATACTAATGAAGTGTCTAGCTAGCTAGGTAAAAAATGGGTTCCTCCATACTAATAAGTGTCGCTCTAGTACAATAGGAACAATAGGCTTGCCTAGACTTGCTCGTTAATAGTTAACACGGATTGGCTCATGTAGAATCTATTCTATCTTTCAAATAAAAGCGGGCCCTCCGTTCAGCATTTTATTATTGTCACAAACTCCAGTAAATAATATTTTTGAGCGGATAGCTTCCAAACATACTAGTCAACGGTCCGAAAACAGTACTCGACTTAAAACTATTCACTGTGACCAAAGATAAATATTTTTATTCTACAAAACCATTGATTCTGTTTTGTCAATGTAATTCAACCTTCAAACGTTTCTAGACTGTGGTATAGAGCGTTAATCATTAACAGGTTGGCCTTTTTCCTTTTAGACCTGTATCATACGAAACAAAAGGAACGCAAGCGAACTGTTTTTATTATTCATCGCAAACTAATTTAATATACACTGAGCCAACATGAACGCTTGTCGCATAAATTATCCACGGGAATTAACTCAATTATATATAAACAATGGAGGGATTAATACGTGCATGCTACAACCAGACTACACCTTTGTTTCGGTTAAAAAATACATTTATTGATAACAAAACCATCAAAGTGTTACAACAATAGATGAATAGACAGAGTTCCGGGAGTAAGGAGGAGTAAGAATTTCCGCTTATCGATGGCAAGTTCTGTCGATTCCAGCCAGTCATATCCTTCTGTGTCTTTGAGATGTTGGCGGGTTTCCATCACTTTTCGGAATGTCGGATCTTTCTTCATTGCATGCATCCACTGTAAAAACTCTAAGAACACTTTTCTCAATTCCTTTCTATATACTGGAAGCAAAGCATTTTCAGCTTTAATGCGGGCCACTTCAGGCGAGTCTCCGTTTTGTTCATACTCGTTGATCAGAGCTTCGAGCTGGGCTTCGTGGCGATTACAAACTTCATTTTGAATGCGTGACCAAGGATCTACATGCTCCTCCTCCTCCTCTCCGGAAGAGTCCATTTCTTCGCTAGATTGAGAACTTTGAGATGATTGTTCGCTTTCTTGTGAGCTTTCAGTATGGTCGTCATCATCTTCAAAATTTCCATATCCTTTTTGAACGAAATGATTATAATTGCTGAACATTGTGATCCGAACTGCACGAGGTTTAATTAAAAACTGACTGAATCAGAAACAGCGGCTTACTTCTTTTATAGCTATCGATGGAGGCACGGCTGCAAAGCACAACGGAACTCTATGAACTTTCATTGTACCCCTCCTGTACCCCTACTGTACCCCTCCTGTACCCTTCCTGTACCCCTACTGTACCCCTCCTGTACCCTTCCTGTACCCCTACTGTACCCCTCCTGTACCCCTACTGTACCCCTCCTGTACCCCTACTGTACCCCTCCTGTACCCCTCCTGTACCCCTCCTGTACCCCTACTGTACCCCTCCTGTACCCCTCCTGTACCCCTCCTGTACCCCTCCTGTACCCTTCCTGTACCCCTCCTGTACCCCTACTGTACCCCTACTGTACCCTTCCTGTACCCTTCCTGTACCCCTCCTGTACCCCTACTGTACCCTTCCTGTACCCCTACTGTACCCTTCCTGTACCCCTCCTGTACCCCTGAATTCTCTTAAGTACTCCCCACCATTGTAAAATAACTATATATTAAATGATTCTGTTAACTGTGAGTCATTTTTCATAAGCAGTCATGCCTCGAACGTTTCCTTGAATTTGTCCGCTATGTGGCAAACCTGGTGTGTCCAACTTGAGTTCTCATCTTGAAATTGTCCATGACTTAACCGGGCTAAGACGAACACGACTCTTAAAAGAGGCTAAGGTTTCTTGGGAATCAAAAAGAGAATATATTTCTACAAGCGTCGACTTGCCTCGTTGTTCATCTAGTTCCACGAGAAAAATATGTGAACCAAGAAAAAGAAGAAGACCAGTAAACGAAACGCCGAAAACTTCTTCTACTGCGAAGAAGGTAAAGCTTTCCCATGATGTTTCCTTGGCAACCAAGCCTTATCCAGATTTTATGTTTCGCCATAAGTTCTCACTCCTTGTGGTTGGACCAAGTCAATCAGGGAAAACAGTTTTCGTAGAACAGATTCTAACGAGAGATCGTATTGTCTACGAAACCAACAAGCCCCGTCGCATTTTATGGTATTACAGTCAGTGGCAAGATAGATACGAAGCTTTGAAATCAGCGATCGGAAAGGACATTACATTTTTTCGTGGACTTCCCACATTTCAAGAAGATCTGCGAGAAATTGACCCAAAATACAACAACGTTATCATCTTTGATGATCTAATGGCAGAAGCGATCGAAAGCCCCATCGTTTCTCGGTTGTTTACCCAAGGTCGTCATAGAAATGCCAGCGTCATACTGCTCCTTCAGAATATGTTCCCCAAGGGAAAATTTAACACCGATATCAGTCGGAATGCACAGTACATGGCTCTTTTCTGAAGTCCTAGCGATCGGAAACAAATCGGAATTGTTGCTGAGCGTATGTTTGATAAGAATCGCCAACGATTCATGACAGCTTATTATCAGGAAACAGAGAGGCCTTACGGTTACATCTTTGTAGATAATAATCCGGACACGGCGGCAAATAAGCAGGTGTTGAGCGACATCTTTGGCTCTTGTCGAGTTTACCCAAGTATCAACAAAACCTTAAAACCAGAGGGAGAGGTGGAATCGATCCCCCCAAAGGATCTTATTGTGCCCCCGAAATATGCTGAAGCTAAATCATGTACGCGTAAACGGAAACCGTTTGATCTGGATTGGTGTGGGATGACCTGGCCCGCCTTGCAGAATTATTTACATGGAGCGCCCTATCTCAAAGCTATTCCAGAAGGGTTTGGCCTTTGCGAGATGTACACGAGCACTCGAAATGCTGTTAACCCTTATACCCCCACAGTCATGTTTGCATCTGAAAATTACTGGCCCGTCAAAATAAAACATTATTCCAACGGCAAAAGAAAGTGGATTTATATACACGAAGACGAACCAAGTGTCCAAGTATTTGTTCAAGAAACGAAAGCAATCGAAAGAGCTAGAGGGAGAGGCACTTTCTAGGCTTTGAACATTTGCTCACCATATTGTAATCCTTTTTATAAAGTTGTTGAGTTACTACAATAAATGTATTTTTTAACCGAAACAAAGGTGTAGTCTGGTTGTAGCACGCGCGTATTAATCCCACCATTGTTTACACACCTATTTCAATTAAGGTTGCTTAAGAGAAGAATGATGCATGATCCGTGTTTCATAGCCCGCGGTGCATTATCGTGCGCGTAAACAAATCATCGAAATCATGTTCTAACAAGTCTAGTAAATTATGTGCCCACAACGAGTCTAGAAACCTAGAAAGCAAACGCTGCCGACACTTCTATGCTATGTCAGCAGAACGTTAAGATAATGTATTTCAAAGCACTGAATCCTAGGCTTTTTAATTTAAGAAAATGATTTGAGGTTAGGTTTTCCTCTGTGGTAATTTGCAAATGCTACAAATTTTCAACGAGTTGGCTTGGCTCTTGCACGTGGGAATTTTGGATGGAGATTTAAAAAAATCAAATTCAAGGCGTTTGTTGAACAATAATAAATAACTTAACATTACGTGTTTATCTACTTTTGAGGCACTTTTGTTAAGCTGAACAAAAAAAAAAGAATAGCGTTGATTTGCTTTATTGAAATAACCCGGAGTCTGGCCCATGCAAAAACGGATCTGAATCAGGCGGTAAAACCCTCTTCATTTAATGTTGTTAAAAGGAGAGGCTTCTAATTTTTTACTATGAGATTTTAAAAATGAAATTTTTCAGCTCGCTCATGCTTAAGAATTTTAGCAGCTATTTGACTTGAAAGCTCTCTTGAACGCCTTTTCACAAATGGTCTCCATTATTTCAATGAACGTGAACAAGACTAAACTTCCAGCTACAAAAAGGTTTACCATAGTGCACTGCGGCCTATGAAACATGGTTCGCGGGAGCAACCTTAATTGAAATAGGTGTATATAATTGAGTTGATTCCCGTGGATAATTTATGCGACAAGCGTTCATGTTGGCTCAGTGTATATTAAATTAGTTTGCGATGAATAATAAAATACAGTTAGCTTGCGTTTTTTTTGTTTCGTATGATACATGTCTAAAAGGAAAAAGGCCAACCTGTTAATGGTTAACGCTCGATACCACAGTCTAGAAACGTTTGAAGGTTGAATTATATTGACAAGACAGAATCAATGGTTTTGTAGAATAAAAATATTTATCTTTGGTCACAGTGAATAGTTTTAAGTCGAGTATTGCTTTCGGACCGTTGACTAGTATGTTTGGAAGCTATCCGCTCAAAAATATTATTTACTGGAGTTTGTGACAATAATAAAATGCTGAACGGAGAGCCCGCTTTTATTTGAAAGATAGAATAGATTCTACATGAGCCAATCCGTGTTAACTATTAACGAGCAAGTCTAGGCAAGCCTATTGTTCCTATTGTACTAGAGCGACACTTATTAGTATGGAGGAACCCATTTTTTTTCTTAGCTAGCTAGACACTTCATTAGTATGGAGGAAGACACTGACTAGACACTTAATTAATATGGAGGAACGCGTTTTTGTCGAGTATCCTTATTAGTATGGAGGAAGGCACTTTTAAAATTAGTATGTAGGAACGCATTTTTCTCTAGGTTATAACAATAGGTGACGTCATAGACTCGACCCTTACACATATTAATTAAGGGAAGACAAGGGAAGACAGGGGAAGACACCAACGGGGCTTATCTCGCAACATAGTATACTACTAACTTGTGTCATCTTCACTTTGTACAAACTGATGTCGTCTACTTAAGCATAATGTCTTTCACTCCCTCAATAGTTTCCTTTCATTAACTTTAGGTTCGCGGACCAGCCCATTCTGAAAACGCCTTATTTCCTTTTTTGCTGTGAGCCCGCGAACAGTGTGTGTATTTGTATGTGAAGGCGCCATATAACACTGCAACATACGTATTTCAGCAAAATATTCACTATTTCCTCTTCTTAGATAGTCGCCAATTTTATGCCAAATTTCCGAATCACTCGGATCAAAAACATCCAACTCTTCTCTAATTGGCTTATCAATTTCGGTGTCCAAAAAATTTTTTTCGGCTTTTCGGGCCTCAGTTTGGTCTAAAAATAGTGGGGAGGAGGCCCTCCTTAGGATCCGCCTCTAATAACTTAAAGCTATTTTTCACATTTCAAATGACCTTTAGTCGCCGCGGGGCAACCGTTAGAGCGGCTCATCTGATCTGACTAGTTAAACTTTAGTTGGTTTAAACCCTGGCATAATATAAAACGATTATTTCTTCTTTATTCATCCCTCATAATTATTTCTTTCCCTGAAAGAATGCATCAAAGAACTCGAAAATACCTCGCACTAATGCCGAAGCAACTTCGGGATATTCGGATATCCCGAAGATTTAACTTTGGAACATTCCTGAACTGCAAGAATCCTTAACTTCGTGCTCCGCTGAAGTAATTAAGTTAAGGTTCTATAAGAATTTAAAAATGCATGAACTAAATAAATAAATTAAAATCTTCACGTTTCTTAAGATTATCAGGAAGAATATTGAAAAGGGCAGCCGTAGTGTCCTGGAAGGTTCCTTTTTCCAGAGGAACTTGTTAGGGTCAGGGTTAGAAAAGTTGTTGTTGTTGTAACGTACAACCCCATGAATGAAGTGTTAGCGAGTTGGGATCCCAATATTTTGAACTATTTATACAGATCAATCAATGCTTTTTAAATTTCCAACCAAAATTGTTTTCTTTCAGTTTTTTTATTCTACCTTAATGCGTGGTGTGAACATATGTATTATTTATGACGACAATAGACAATTTATATGTAACATAAAGTGAAGTACGTAAAAGTGACAACCATGAAAGCGTTCACAACAGTCACGCAATGTGCTGTCCAGACAATGGCCGCTGTGTTTAAGTTGACCTCGTGCGGTGAACACGCTGTGTCGTATTTAAGGTGGCTGAACACAATTTTGGCAGTTTCCGATTATATGTCATTTGCCAAATCTTGGCAAGAGAAAGGTAGCTCACAAGCTGAAACTTGGCAAGTGAAAAATATTCTGATGAAAGATTTTGACTGACAGGTAAAATTTGACATTTTCGTAGTTTCCATGGCAACATGAACGATTGAACACAACCTTAAAATTTCACTTTTGCTCAGTTTGCATAAAATTCGCTCATTAGATTTTCCTATAAACTTGTACACAGCTTACTATAATTAATCATTACCATTTGAAACGTATTTGACCAAATTTTAACAGACAGGTTGTTAGATAATCAATGACATAATTGTACTGTAATTATTAAATGTGTCACAAAATTCGTCTGTTCAAATTCCATTTTAAAGTTCTAATTATTTGAAATACAATAAAAGTAAAAATTCCCAAATATCGCAAAATTTTAATGAGTAGATTTTGAGAAATGGTCGTCTGTGTACCATTGCTTTTTTCTCCGCCATGTTTGTTTGTCTAATTTAAAGCACGCGCCGTCACGCGAGTTACCGCTGATCGCCCGCAAAACTGTGTTCAGCCACCTTAAGCCAATCACAATGCAGGAAGTCTCGCTGTCAATCAAAACATAGGGACTTGTCTTACTCTTTCACGAGTAGATTTCTTAATTTCTCGGGTGTTTCCATGGGAACGACCGGAGCTATAAAATGGAAAGGGCTTTTTTTTCTTCCAAAGTGACTGTAAATAGGTTCTTACTTTTGTATTTATTGGGATATTTGTAATGCGAATTTGATTATTTTTAAAGAAAATGTGCAATATAAGTATTAAATATTATTATTATTATTATTATTTCTCCTGGCACAAATGGCCAGAGGCCCTCTGGCGCCTTCAGCGCGTGCGCAAGATACAAGAGTCTGGGGTGTAAAATAGGTCAGCGTTCCAAACCAGAGGACAGAGCCCACGGCTGTCATGATTGCCTGAGACACGGTGAGACAAAGGAATCTGCATGCATTCGGTCAGTAAGGGGCTTCATCAACATAGTAGCTTCCTACTTGCTAGCTTTGGAGCAAAGTTGTAGTATACTTGACTTACGTAAAAACTTTAATAATGAATTTAAGTGCGTTATTGCGGCTCGCTCAGTTCGTCACTGTAAAAGTATTCCAGTCCCAGCATATATAAGAAAGCCGAACGCACCCGTTAAAAGTCGTTTTCATGTAAATCCGTAATGCGTTCTAAGTGCTTTTTGCGAGTCATTTTCATTTCAACAGCAATACCTACCAAGCATATTACCTAACTTAAGAAGCTAACTAATGCACTTAATAGCTGATGCTTAGAGGTTCGTAAAAATGCCACCGTCTTCCTTACCAGGCATCTCTATTGTTGTCGTTGTTGTTGTAATGATATATATATATCACGGGTGAAATATAGGTGAGAGACGAAAAACATATTGTTTTACTCTTCACTTGTGGTACTGTGTGTATATATATATATATATATATATATATATATATATATACATAACACAAATGAACTGAAACCAGAGAAAGAAAGAAATAAATTTATATATTTATATATAAAAATGAAATGACGAAATTCAAATTGATCATCAACTAAAAAGTGCTCAGTGGGTTTACCAGAGCTTTGAATAGATATGTAGACTTGAACTAGGTCAAAAACATTTACTTGCTACTCATAGTTTCATGCTTCATGAGAAGCAATCATCAGGCAACTGCCAAAAAGAAGCAATACATGGTGTTTTATAGTGATTTAGAGTGATTTTGAAAAAAACGGTAGCAATTCATAATAGGCTGGGTTGCATAGCAACGGTTAAACAATTTTCAGTAAACCGCTGAAAAAGAAAAAATAAAATACGTCTTACAGGCTTAAATAATCACGTTATTTAGAAGAAATTTCTTTGCATTTCTGCAACTTGATACGGGTTCATTTCTGTTGTTCAGGGTCGCCATATTCGGTCTACAAATTATATATTACTTCTCCCACAGACATAAATTACACTTCTTCGTTACATTTGAATAGGATCTTGCATGTCTAATACTCCGCCATCTAATTCGGTAGGCAGTTTTCTTGTCTTTCAAGCCCCATACATACTTGCTTAGTGCAGTGGAATTTCTATAACGTTCATTTCTATTTTTTCTCTTTTTTCGCCTTCTTTTTTCTTCTGCTCAGGAACTGTTAAATGAGAAGCTGATATCATGGAAAACCAGAAATGAAAAGTTAACAAGAGAATTCTGTAACAGCTTACTAATTCAGCTGAAAGAGAAACACCTTGATCCAGTCCTTCGACGACTGCAGGGGAAAGAAGCGGCCAAAATATCTTTCGATGAAATCATTGGTGGATACAATCAGATAAAGGAAGATTACCACAATTCTGCTATAGGTGCCAAAGATGTTATTGCCGCAGTTTTCTATGAATTTCACCCGGTACGATTAAACGTTGAAATTGGTCCATTTTATTCGAATTGTGTAATGTGACCGGCTATTTGCTAAGTTAGATTAGTTCGTCAAAATTGAAACTGAAACAGACGTCTGTTAGTTTTTGACATCTAAGAAACCCCTCCTAGTAACAAATTAAGACGTTCGATTAAACTGCGAAGGTTGTTTTTCGTTTCAGTGAATTTTTGTGCGTTTTTGTTTGCTTGCAGGCCCTTTTGAAAGAACAGACACAATGCTTGAGTTTGCTAAGACAACTCAAAGACTATGATGAGAAACTAACCCAGGAATTAGCAGCTAAGGCTTTTCAAGAACAGGAAAAGCAAAAGCTTCAGGTTTTATTTTTTCTCACGATGCTTTTGACTTTAGAAAACTTAATAAGCAAGGGTAATCTCTTTTCCTTTTCACGGTGGGTCAGCTGCATAAAAAAATGATCCCTTCAAAACTAGTTTTGCGGTTTTTATTTTTTTCGACCTAAAACTTTGCAGGATGACACAAGTCAGTATTTCCCAATCGCTTATTTTTGGATATCTATTTTAACGGATTTTTGCCGGGGAATAAGGTTACAGGATTAATTTAATTAATTTTCGACTTTAGTAGTGGGTTAGGGATAAAATTAATCTTTTCTATGCGCAAGAAATCTCATTAACTTGCTGAGGAATACATTAACGTCAATGACGTTTCTAACCTTTTGTCTTTATCTCATAAATAAAGTGCGCAGGAATCTCATTAAGATAAGGTCGCGTGCTATTTTTAGTTGGTTTAACCGGTTTTACAGATTTTTAGTTATTTTTAGATGGATGATGTCATAGTTTATTTTAATTATGTGTGTCATGTCCTTCTGTGGGTATGATGTGATTGTCTATTTTTTATTTGGTGAGTCAATATCCTTGTTTGGGTATGATAATGTCCAAGGTGTGTTTTGATTGGTGGACTCCTTTCAAAAGGGCAAAAAACGGGGTTAGGCGAATGCGAAATCGTGATGGTTTTTCGGGCAAAACATAAAAACGAGGTCGAAGCTCAGCGAAGCAAAAAACTGCCTGCTAAGCAAAAATGTCAATCTTTGTTTACTTGACTCTGTAGAAAGCATTGCACAGAGTATAAAAATTCTCTAGAAAGCAACTAAAAAGAGCAAATGACCTTATCTTAATGAGATTCCCGCGCATTTTATTCACGAGATAAAGACAAAAGGTTACGACGTCGTTGGCGTTAATATATTCCTGCGCAAATTAATGAGATTAATGCGCTTAGAAAAGGTTAGTTTCATCCCTATCCCACTACTGACTTTTGTCGCAACAAGTAATCAGCTTTGAATCCTACCAATGTTTGCGTGGTTTTCAATCAAAATAATTATAAAATACGCCTGTCACCTAACCTTCTCCTAGTATCTTCTAATAACGCTCACGGGTTGTTATCTATGGCTGACGACTTTTTAAAAATGTTTATCTGTTAACAGGAAGAGCAAGAACGATTGCGTCAGGAGAATCTGGCAGTCAAGAAAGAGGTTACCCATATCTTGTTGGTACTAGAAATAACTTAATGTCGGCTCTGGTCGAACAATGTACTTTTCTTGAGCCGAACTCAACGAATTGACGTTAGCTCATGTGAATAGCTCCGTTTTACCCAATTAATTCCGTGTTCTGGATCGACTGAGGCTTTCTTCAGTGCTGGATTACATAATGTTGTAAAAACATCTCAGCCTACGCAAATACAATCAGCCAAACGTGACTGGATGGAACGTCGCATTCCACATAGCCTACTCCACAGCCGAATCTAAACTCTAATTTAGTTCGTGTGCGAAACACCGCCAAAAATCTTTGTTCTAAGCCCCCACCTGTGTACCAGGATTTGAGTACGCGCCATGATTGGCCTGTTAAAAGAAGCCATTGTCGATTTTCCAATCAAGATGAAAGGAAATTCGAAACGCACTTCCGGTATCCGTTGGGTCCGTTGGGGGCTCAGAACAAGGATCTCGGAGCTGCTTCGCAGACGTTACCAACCGTGGTTAAATAAGTCTCCGACGCAAGCTACATTCCTCATGAGCCGAACGTTTTCTACGTTTCGCTAGCCGTTTGACTACGGGCTGTCCGTGATCATGAGCCAGACCATACACACGAATCGAGCGGAAGCTTAATGCTTATTCGTTTGTTTATTCATTGTAGATGGAAATGTTAGGCAGAAAACAGAGTGAAGAGAGACAGAAGCTTCGTGAACAGATGGATAACGAGCTTAGGCTGCAAAGGGAGCAAATGAACAACATGGTGGAAGCAAACATGAAGACTGCAAAACAGAACAGAGCGTTACTCGTACAGCAAAACCAGGATCTCCAAAATAAGTTCTTGGCAGTTCAAAAAGCAAATGAAGACAACATGAAAATGATTGAAAAGCTGTCAGATTTAGTGGCTAAGCAAGATGAAGAGAAGTGCCGACTCAGTGAACAGATGGAACTGAACGCACAGAATGTCTCAGAACGTCAAGAAGAAATCCGAGCAGAAATGGAGAAGAGACACAAGAAAGAACAGGAAGAATTGCGTCATCAGATGGAAACTAAGATTCAGGATTTGACAGAGGAACACAAGGATTCCTTAGGAAAAAGAGAGCAAGACATTGAAAAGAAGATGGAGGCAAAGTATCTGCAACATCAAGATGACTTACGTCAAGAGCTAAATGAAAAGAGGGAAAGGGATATTGCGAAATTGAAAAATAAATACCAGGCTGCGGCAGATGCACGAATAACCCAGATGACATGTATGAAAACGAGGATGGATGTCCTTGAAGGAGAACTTCAGGATCTTAAGAAACCAGGCTTTTTTAAGCGGCAATGGTCAAAATTAAAGGCGTTAGGGAGTGGTGTGAAGGATAAATGCTTGACAATGTGACAAGCACCTTGGTACCACTTTTAAGGATCGTGGAAGAAACGTTTTTTTTACATCAACAGTTTTCGCTTGTTACTATGTGTTTGCTTTTATTGTTATTCAAATATTGTGTAAGATGACAGATATCAGCAAACTAGTGAGAAAAATAAATTCTTAAGTAGACCTAACAAATTGTAGGTAAGGCAACCGCATAATAACTTCAAGTCATGAAAATATCGGTAATATGACTTGGGTGGAAAAAGTAATGATAATAATTAATTAATTAATTAATTAATTTACTAACATTATTATTCATTCAAAATATTTCTTCTTTTTTGACTGGCTCAAATCCCTCGGCTAATCATTCATAACCACCTAGCGTTAACTATATTCGGAAGACGTTTGCGATATTTGAATAACGACGTCAATAAGTTTCGCACAAATGATAGATAAATAGACGCCAAAGAAGCTATACTGACAAGTCTGACAATCTTACGTTGTTTTGGTAGAGCAGTAGGCGTTTGGCGAACAAGAAATAGCCGAACTACTGCCTCTAGACATAGAAAGAAAAGCAAGAATACAATTATTGGATGGAGAACATGGCAAAACTAAACGTTCCTTTACATCATGAACTTGCCGTGAAACAGGCAAATGAAGACTGGAACTTAACATCGAACAGGGCTAGCATATTCAAGCTTGTCTTTAAACCAGGGATTTTTTGAAAAAATAATAAGACAATTATTAGATTTGCCTTTCGTATGGTCTGAAAAATTATGCAGATTTAGGAAGGTGTTAATCTACCTCAGTTTTCAGACGTGGTGGAGATTACCTTCCTTGATCTCCATAATTCTTCAAATCATTCTCAGCCCTATCCAATAATCGCAAAATAAGAAGGCTGAAGAAGGCTTTTGAAGCGTCAAAAAGCATGTAACTTTTACTGTTTAATTTAAGTTGATCATTTTTGGTAGGTGTACTTGCACATTTCAATTATATTATGCAGATCTCGGAGGATGTTAACTGCCTCAACCTACGCGGCCTTAGCGAATAAAACCCTCCTCGAATGTCCATAATTCTTCATATCATAATCAGCCAATAATTGCTAAACAATAGTTAGCACTTTTCAAATCTGAAAAAGGCTTTTGGAGCGCTAAAGCATATAACTTTATTTTGTAGTTAAAGTTAAGGGCGATCATGTCTTGGAAAGTGTACTTGCCATCTCAATTAAATTGACACTTTAGGTACTTCACATTGAAAGTCACCTACTGATTATATGGTATTATACTTACTGATTGTATTGACACTAGATAACGCTACTATAGTAAGTAAAATTTTCATTATTGTTGTGCATTTAAATATTTTTACATTTTGAGTGTGAAAACTAGTTTGTCAATTTACTTAGCCGATTAAAAGACTGGTTATTGGCAATGATGAAATTTATCTGTTAATTTTTGGAGCCTTACTGAAGACTTCCTGCATTCGCGTGTTTTTGAACTTGTGCTTCATTTTGCCGTTTAGTTATCGTTTTATCAATTATTCACCGAACTGGATGTGAATAATTCTTTAATGTCCTCCAGTTTCATCGACACTAAGTAAATATTAAATTCTCCGGTTTTCACGCCCTTCGTATGCCTGGGTACCATCATGAACAAGACGTTGTCGGAGCGTACACTTAGCCGTCGTGGAATCACGCGTTTTTGAGGATTTTTTGTGTCAGGCACGTGTGACCGCCGCAATGTTGTTAGTTGTTAAGGGTTGGTTGAAATGGGCGAAAATGGAGACCTTCCAAACTACTAATTGCTTTAACATTGTAGGGGTGATGAATGGTCTATCAAAATTTGTAACTGCTCGCAAATTTTTACCTTTGCTCTATTTGCTCGCAAAATTTAAACGAGTGCTCGCTTGCTCGTGCTCCCCAAATTTTTGCAGTTGCTCGCATGCTCGCTTGTCAGTAAAGCAAATGTAATTCTGTATGGTGCTTAATTCCTATAAATATGGCTATCAAGTTCAGTGGCAATGCACGCGATACATGACAACGATAAATAATAAATTAGCTAATCTAGCTGTATATGGTTACAAAGAGAAGATATTGTTACCTTGAGTTCTTCTGAGCTTCTCTACCGATCTACTCACTGGGCTTTAATTAGGCCGTGTTTTCAATAAAAACGGTTTGGAAGCTTTAAGATTCTTCCAGAAGAGGTTGTTCTTACACGAGGATCTTGCTCCTATATAAGAAGTGCTCGCTGCTCGCGAGTTGTAGTCTCTAAGTGCTTGCTGCTCGCAAAGCAAATTTTTTATCTCTGCTCGTGCTCGCAAAAAAATCGCAGTACTGGCAAGCTCGCGAATGCTCGCAAAGACCATTCGTCACCCTTCACATTGCGAAACCGCTCACTTCTTCTCGTTCCACTCTAAATCCACACATTCCACGTCATCCTTAACAGATCTCAGAACTCTCCGTACCTTGCTTTCCGAACGCTGCAAATACGTTCAACTCATCAATGTACAATCGATCTGTTATATTCACACTGATCAGTTTTGACAACTTGTTCCCTCGGTTGCTTTGAGCTTCCAAGCTATAGGATTTAAACATAAGGTGAAGGGCCTTGGACAAAACGGATCGGCTTGCGACAATGCCCTCTTGAAAGTTATGATTTCTGACGTTTCCATCCGGTCCCTTGCTTCCTCTTAACCACAGTTCTAGTGTTCCACCTATTACTCAATTGCCGTAATGCCACGCCTAACCACCGTGGTAGTTGATGAAGCTCAAAACATCTCTCCTATTCATCTATCTGTCGTATCAAAGGCCTTTCTAACCACGATCCAGGCGATGCTGAGATCCCGCTTCCCCCTACTACTACTACTACTACTACTACTACTACTACTACTACTACTACTACTACTACTACTACTGCTACTGCTACTGCTACTGCTACTGCTACTGCTACTGCTACTGCTACTGCTACTGCTACTGCTACTGCTACTGCTACTGCTACTGCTACTGCTACTGCTACTGCTACTGCTACTACTACTACTACTACTACTACTACTTGGTCACTGCTTTTTAAGGTGCGAGAAGTTTAGTCGTTTTCATGGAAGGATTGAATTATACTGGTAAAAAGCTTATCAAAACGTAAATATACATGGATGAAGACAAAGATGACCCCTCTTTCGAGCCTGGAGATAATCCTGGACAAAAGAAAAAGGTAACATTCAAGCCCGCCTCAATGGTGGACATGAAACCATGTGATGATCTTCACCGATATCTGGTCCACAAATTTCACTCATCCACTAAATCCAAATCAGTTTTATTCGAAGCAATCGATTTTTCAGCCTACAAAACTGCTGCTAAGGTTGTCTCCTTTGTAACATCTGAAGACCGGCTACTTTTATGGATCAAAACCTTCGCTGTGCGATACTTTGATCACCTGAACGTGATGGGATATCGAGTAACATGGCAAGAACAAGAGTCACATAGCTGCCCAACCAAAAGCGATAAAATCATCATGCACATTCACGAGGAAGAAAATAACATTGAAGATCAAATGGTCACCATAACTATCTTTATTTCCACTGGCAGAATCATGGTTCAAGGCAAAAAATTCGCCGAGTGGAGTCAACAGGAATTTCCTGCACTGCTATCTATTGTTAACAGTCTCGGGTCGTCAGGAAACCTTAGCGCTGTTAGCGCAAAGGACAAATCTACATTCCATATAGAACTCCAAAAGTTTTTCACAAAGTACAAAGGATGTGAGATTGCGGACACAAGGGCTTCGGAACTAAACGACACTACCGTGGAAAATGCTGAAAATGTTGTCAGTGACATAACAGAAACAGAAACACCCAGTGCAGACAAAGGAAATACAAGAATAACGCAATTGTCAACACCCATTGAACTCTCCCTTACACCGAGTAGGCTAAACACCTTAACTACTCTTCGAAATACCGTCGGAAATTTAGAAGCCGATTTTACTGAGTTTAAAGTAACAAACGCTGGTAACCTCGAGGGATCTTGTTTACTGTGGGTAATGTCGACTGAGATATCGGTCGACATAGCGGTCGATATAGCGGTCGACAGTCGGTCGATATAGCGGTCGACAGTCGGTCGATAGTTGGTCGATAGTCGGTCGATAGTCGGTCGATAGTCGGTCGATAGTTGGTCGATAGTCGGTCGATAGTCGGTCGATAGTCGGTCGATGGTCGGTCGATAGTGGGTCGATAGTCGGTCGATAGTGAGATAGACTATCGGCCGAGTATCGGTCGATATTCCGTCGACGCACCTCGACTTACTATCGGTCATATGTCGGTGATATATCGGTCAACTGTCGGTGATATATCGGTCAACTGTCGGTGGTATATCAGTCAACTGTCGGTGGTATATCGGTGAACTGTCGGTGGTATATCGGTCAACTGTCGGTGGTATATCAGTCAACTGTCGTTCGAATATTAGTCGTGTGTTAATTTATCAGGTGAGTCCAATGGCTTTTTTTTTTAAGCAAAGACGTCATTAATTACTGTTATCATGCGATGGGGAACATGTGGCAAAGCAAGGCGCGATTACGCTATGAAGAGAACCGAAGAGCACTGGGAACTAAGGACATGATAACCTTTTTTTTCCAGTTTGTATCATCACCGATCGTCTGAGTTTTAGCTGTTAAACAGAACCTGTCTCAGCCTAAGTTGAATCTGCTGCTCCTGTGGTCCCGCAAAAATGTAGGAAAATGTAGGAAATGCTAAGTGTCGACCGACCATCGACCGAGTGTCGACCAATTACTGACCGACACATCGATCAAGTATCGACCAACTATCGACCAAGTATCGGCAAAGTGTCGGCGAAATGTCGGCGAAATGTCGGCGAAGTGTCGGTGAACTAAAAGCTATATCGGCCGAGACACATCTGGAACGACTATCGGCCGTGTCTCGACCGAGTGTCGACCCACTATCGACCGACTATCGACCGCTATATCGACCGACTGTCGACCGAGTGTCGACCGACTATCGACCGAGTGTCGACCAAGTATCGACCGAGTGTCGACCTACTATCGACCGAGTGTCGACCGCTATATCGACCGCTATATCGACCGATATCTCTCGGTCGACATTACCCACAGTAAACAAGATCCACCTCGAGCACCTAAAAGACAAAGCTGCCCAACTAGATCACAATTTCAAAGTACAAACAACAACCCTAGGGGGCCTTGCTGATGATCTGGAAAACAATACTAAACTTCTAAATCACGATTTACAAAAACACGCTGACTTAATTTCCAAATTACAGAATGAAAATCAAGCACTTCAAAAGAAAAATGCGAAAATATCGGAGGATAACGCAACCATGAGAAGAACACAGAACCAGCTTGAAGCGGAAATCACCTTTCTTAAGGACCAAATTAAAGCCCTCTGGGAAACAATACAACTGCCGCCGGAAACAACTAAGACGTCGAGCCAGACCTCTGGTGAAGAAATGGACGACAAATTCAATGATAGCACAAAGAATAAAGCTGCCATTCCTACATCAAACGACAACCAATGGTCAGAAGATGAGATACTACTTGTTAATCTTCCAACATCAAACTCTTTCTCTCCCTTCAAGATCTACCAGAAAACCCGCCAAGAAAAGAACCACAAAACAAACCTGTAGACACTAATTCGCAGCACCCTCCTAAGTCTCCTGCTACCAACGACACCAATAATTCTAATGAAGTGATCTTTCTATGTGATTCAAATGGAAAGTTTTTAGACATGGAAAAAATGTTTCCTTCAGACCAGGAAGTGAAGTATGTTAGAACTCCACTGATTGAACACGCTAGATCGTACTTACAAAGTCAAATCCACACTGCTCCCCGACTACTCATATTACACACAGGAACAAACGATCTAGAAAGAACCAGTTCTCCTGAAGATCTTATTTCTAACATCTAAATATTGATTACAGAAGCCTCAACGAAATTTCCTTCAAGCAAAATATTCTACTCAACACTTCTTCCCCGCAGCGACATCCCGACACCAATAATAACTTCAATAAACAATCAGTTGATCAGTAGCTGCTCAAGATTACCCAATGTGCAGTTAGTCAAACATGACAACCTCTTTGAGAATCAATCAAATATTCTTTACGATCAGAAACATATTCTTAAACGGTACGTAAAATTTTTCGCCAAAAACCTTAAGGACACAATTCGCGGTCGTGCCAGACCAAAACCTACAGTTCCTTCTAATACAATGCCAGCCCAAAGACAAAGATCCTCACAAACTCAACCGACTTCTTCCCAAGGTCCCAAGCCACTATTACATCACACATCATACAGCAATGCCGTAAAGAACACACCACCTCAAGTGCCTCGTTGGCCTCACCTTCTTCAAACTCAACCTCCGCCGTTACCATTTGTCACACCACAACTTCCACAACGAATACCTCCAACACCATTGCAAAATTCACTACATCATGAACCAAATGCCTCAAATAAAGCATTCCAGCTTCCTATGCAAACCCTGCCGGACCAGATACTCCCAGCTCCGCCACCAACTATATCGCATCAATACTCCAAAACATCGCATCAAACGTTTCCACAGGCCGCTAAAATGGAAACCGCAGGTGAAGAAACTCGCCCCTCCAACAAATTAACGGATTCAGCAATGCCTCAGGAAATCATATCCTTTCTTCGTTTTATAAAATCATTTGTATGAACAATTTCATCTTACCCTTGACACTGAATTAAGTATTAATGATAAACTTTATACCAGTATAAAGAGTAATCCATTTATTATTTTCTATACAATCACGGACACCGAAGATAGTCCCGATATTTCAAGCACATTGTCCTTTTGCGCTTGGAATATTAATGGCCTTTCTTCGAAATATCTTGGAAATAAGTTAGATAATGCTGATTTTTTGAGTGTTATTAATAACTCCGATTTTATATTGTTAACAGAAATTGGCAACTGCTCTAATCTGGAAATTGCGGGATACAAATCTTTTTTTCAATGTCCCACACCAAATCAGTCGGGGAGAGGTGGGCGTAACTCCGGAGGAATCGCTTTATTTTATAAGAACAAATTCCACAAAAACATTTCCATCACTAAAACAACTCAGCATTTTATTTGGTTTAAAATTGAGAATCGTTTTCTAAATTCAGTGAAGAATATTTACGTCTGTGGTGTCTATATACCCCCCTGTAACTCAAAATACTTTGATAACGAAATTTTTGATCAGCTAGAACAAGACATAGTACGTTTTTCTTCGAAAGGATCAATAATTCTCATGGGTGACTTTAACTCGAGAACCGGGAAATACTCTGATACTGTCTCAAAGGAGGGAAACAGTAGAATTAGTAATGATCAGTCGGAATCTGCTTTCCAGCCAACTCAAAGAAACAGTTTTGATAATGTTTTAAATAGCCATGGGAAACGGCTGTTGGAAATTTGTAAAACCTTTGACCTAAGAATAGTTAATGGCAGAGTTAATGGAGATACCCTAGGCAGACCCACTTTTCATGGAAAAAACGGAACGAGCGTTATTGATTATCTAATATGTGATCAGTGTACATTTCTCAACGTTGCAAATTTTGTTGTTAAACAGCCATCTTATTTATCGGATCATAGTGCCATCGTGGCATGGCTCAATCTTAACACCAGGTTAATTGGAGACGAAATGCACACTCCCAATAGTAGCAATAGATTATCAAAATTACCACGGCAATTTTGCTGGGAAGTTGACTCACATTTAAAATTCAAAAACGCACTGCGCACGGAACCAATCCAAATTCTAATTAGACAATATATGGAGAGAAACACCGAAGATGTGAATATCTCCTTAGAAAACGCTATGAAAATTCTAACTGAGAGCTCCAAGCTATGCCTAAAAATTAAAGCTAAGAAAACTTATAAGCGTATTAAGAAATCATCCAACAAGAAATGGTTCGACTGTGAATGTCGCTTAAAAAGGCATGAATTACGAAAAGTCTCAAATGAAAAGCACCGTGACCCCCTCAACTCCGAAGTGCGGGAAAAATATCACAAAACCTTGAATGATTACAAAAAGCTCCTAGGCACAAAGAAAAGAGGATTCCACAAAGAAAAAACATTACAACTCGACGAACTAGCTTTAAATCCTGACAAGGCGTCATTTTGGAATTGTTTAAATTCGATGAGCGACACTTTCAACGAAAATGTTCCTGCCCCAATCTCGGAAGAATCATGGCTTCACCATTTCAAATCTCTGCATTCTATTGACCCGACGAATTCCACGCATGAACATGAAATCCATAGGGAACTAAATTCTTTAGAACACGAAAAGGAACAGTTTAACGATCTCGATTATGAGATAACTGAGAGGGAAATACGTCAAGCGGCGAAGAAATTGAAAAATAAGAAATCACCATTTGTTGACAAAATACGAAATGAAATGATCAAAGCAAGCCTCGAACCACTAATGCCTGTCTATGTCAAACTTTTTAACCTCATTTTACAATCCGGAAAAATGCCAGATGTTTGGTGTCAAGGCCTCATAACCCCAATTTACAAATCTGGTGACAAGAGTGATCCAACAAATTACAGAGGCATATGTGTTTCTAGTTGCCTTGGAAAACTGTTCTGTTCTATTTTAAATCGAAGACTTCACTTGTATTTTGAGGAAAATAAGATATTACATAATTCCCAAATTGGCTTTTTGCCTGAAAACCGCACTGCAGACCATGTTTTCACTCTAAGGACCCTAATAGATAAATATGTGCATTATCACAAGGAAAAAAGTCTACGCTTGTTTCGTAGATTTCCGCAAAGCGTTTGACTCTGTTTGGCACGAAGGATTGTTTTATAAGCTGCTAAAAACGAATATAGGAGGAAACTTGTACAACCTCATGAAAAGTCTTTATTGCAACTCGACATGTTCCATCAAAATCGGTGAAAACAAAACACAGCCTTTTTCATATTCCAGAGGTGTACGTCAAGGCTGTATTTTAAGCCCTCTTTTATTTAACCTCTATTTAAACAATCTACCACTTTTTTTATTCGAAAACACCTTATCTGACCCATTTGTTCTCCCAAATGGGAAAAAAAATAAATTCACTTTTCTACGCAGATGATTTAGTTATTCTATCAAGATCGAAAACTGGATTACAGAACTGTTTAAATGCGCTTTCTTTGTATTGTGACAAATGGAAGCTAAAAATTAATCCCAAGAAAACAAAAATTATGATATTCCAGAAACGCCCCAAAAAATCTATTGACATCAAATTCAACATAGGCAGTGAGTCAATTGAAATTGTCCAAGAATACACTTATTTAGGTACACGTTTAACTCCAACGGGAAACTTTACACTTGCACTCGAACACTTAAAAGAAAAGGCCCTTCACGCGTTTTCTAGTATTCGGAAGCGGACAATTCTTAACAAACTTAATCCTAATACTGCATCCCAAATTTTTGACACCATGGTATTCCCAATCTTGAGTTACAACAGCGAGGTATGGGGAATGTACACCAAGCAAGATTTTAAAAAATGGGATAGCTCCCCAATAGAAAAAATTCACCTCAAATTCTGTAAACGTTACTTAGAGGTTAACAATAAGGCCTCTAACATAGCCTGCAGAGCTGAACTTGATAGACTGTCGCTGCTTATCCCGATAAATCAGAAAATTATGAAATATTTTGTTTACCTCAACAACAAAGATAATGACTCTATAGTCAAACAGTCTTTCCTTATGTCAAAGAATCTACATTCTATGAATAATTCCGGATATTTTTCCAATGTCATAAACATGCTTGAACAATACAATCTAACCAGTTTAGATGCTGAATCTCTAGATAATGATAAAATTAGACGATATACCACAGAAATGAGAGAGAAATATCTATCTTTTTGGCGGCACAGCCTCGAAAATTCAAAAAAACTAGAATTTTATAAAACTTTTAAAGATGAATATTCTACATCTGATTATCTCTACCAGCTAAGACATTATGACGAACGACAGAATTTTGTTAAATTTAAAATAAGTAATCACAAACTTATGATTGAACATGGTCGATACCAAATCGATCATTTGCCAAGAGAAAATAGATTATGTCCTTTATGTAACTCAAATCAGGTAGAAGATGAGATTCATTTCCTCTTTCAATGTAACAAATACTCAGTACAGAGACAGGCATTTATTACTCAAATCAATCGAATAATACCTGACTTTGACAAGAAATCATCTCCGGAAAGCATAAAACTGATAATGAATTCGAAGGAACATCATGTAAATAAGTTAGTTATGAAGTTTGTCTCCTCCTGCATGAAAATACGTGATTCATTGTTAGTAATGTAACCGAATTTTTCTAGATTGTTATTAGTGCTGTTTTGTTTTTTTTATTTTGATTCTCATATACATGCTTTTGCAATACTGTACAGTGATGCGGTCATGCAAATAAAGCAATTTATTACTATTTATTACTACTACTACTACTACTACTACTACTACTGCTACTGCTACTGCTACTGCTACTGCTACTGCTACTGCTACTGCTACTGCTACTGTTACTGCTACTGCTACTACTAATAATAATAAATAAATAAAACCTCAATTTAAAATCCTATTTACAATCAACCTGCTGTTACAAAAGATCTAATTAATTCATCAAAACACTGTCTACAATTCCTTCATTAGAGAACAAAAACAATCCTGTATGTAATAAGTGAAGAAAGAAAAAACTATTCATTAACAAATTCTAAAAAATAGAAGTAACTTAACCTTACATAAAAGAAGAGGAAATAGATATAATTAATAATAAAAGTTCGAAATTCTATAAAATTAAGAATTTCATTATGCAGAGATATTCAGATAATAATAACAATAATGATATTATTGAGTAAGTAATGGAAGTAACAGAAAAAGATGCCTCAAGTCTTTGCCTCTCCTGTTCTTGATAAGCCTTAGCTGCACGTTCCTGGGCCAGTACCTCATCATAGTCTTTCAGTTGTCCCAGCAATCCTAAATATTGTTCTTGTTCTTGAAAAAGGGCCTACCGAAAAAAACGAATAATAACAATGTTCCACATTCACCGTGTTGATTATATAAAGGATATTACATTGGCTCGCGGAGATACGAAATTTCTCTTCGAGTGTTGAAATAACACGAGAAGAAAAATTTTGTATCTCCAAGCGGCCATGTAATGTTCTATTTATTATTCACCTGTGAAGATATCAAGTTCTCGCGCGAAAGCTCACCAGGTATTTCATTGGTGTTGATATAATAAAACGAATTATTTCACCGGGCGCTAAGGGCTAACTGATTTTTGATCTCATCCCTGTCGCATCACATTTCTAATGGACCCTCAAGTGCTGACAAGAGCTGTTAAAATACAGCTATCATGGTAAATAACAGAACCAGATTTCCGAAATAAGCTTTTGTTTCAAAGTACAGCAGGCGTTCCATCGCTCCCCCCTCCTACCCTACCCTCTTACTATTTTCCCTGCTCAACTCTCTCTGCGCCGCCCAGTCCCACCATCTTAAAGCCTGAAACAGGGTAAGCTGAAACAGTTAGGCCCGTTTCATACGTCGTGCTACTGCCGTGCCGAACTCAATTCAAAAATGGTTAGCCACAAAAAGAGGTCATCGGCTCCTGAAGTGATCACAAAGAGCCTTTGAGAATGAGTAAAAGAAGGGAACTAAAAAATATTCTTTCACTTAGTTCTGGTCTCTAGTTTCGAGCACGGAAGGTTCAACTGCCAACAGTGGTTATCGTCCATTTCCAGTCTCAGCGAGAAAATGGCCATGTCATGCTTTACTCGCAGCACTTCACTTTCCACTGGAAACTACTAGTTTAAACGGAGTTCAGCCCTTGTTTAACAAAAACGCTTTTTAAGCCATTGTCAGTTTGTCCAACGCTCTTATCTAACACCAACTATCGTGAACAATTTCAATAAAGTATATAGCGTATACAGGAAAAGAACTACTTATTTTCTTAACTCAACTCGCGTAGAAAGGTCTAAGTTAGACTTTGTCTAAATAACAGACCCTAAATTAACATTCACCCAAAGAAAAGCACTAAGGATAATTGTATGCTGATGTGATTCTTTCCTAAATTGACAGGAAATTTTTTTCCTGGATATCAAAGTTTCTATCGGACTTTTGTTTGCAGTAACACCCTTTACTCAGTGCCATCTTTTCGGAAAAATAGGCTTACAAACCATTCTCGTCCCCAGAGCCTCTGCAGGGGACGAGAATAACTAATGCAAAGAATGCAAGATCATCCGCGCATGACTGGCTCTAGAATTCCAAATATGGCACTGATGAAAGTGAGACTTCATAGATTACCCATTTCAACCATATATACCTTTCTGGTAGTATAAATCCTGTGTTTTTGGAAGGTTATCGTGATCAATGGAGACCTAGAATGCGCCAAGATCGCGCTAACTTAATTTCCTCCGGTTGAAGGTCAGTTATAATCTGTAGTTAAATCGTCTCTTGGAGAGTATGAAAGATTCTTGCGACACAATTTAATAGACTTAGTCTCTATACTTTGATGAAACTATTATCCGTTCTTATTAACCAATGCTGTAGGATGGAATTGCCGTTACACTGGACAGATAAGAAAAGACGTGTTCAACCTTCGCTTACGCGTTGCGGTACCCACATATTACACGTTCACAACTCATAACATGGTGGATGAGTGCTTGCGACTCGTCTCAAATTCCAGCTTGGGACAAAAACATGCCGACGGAATAGACAAATTGTCACGCATGAATAGTAGTCTTAATTACACTAAGATTTTCGTTGCTACTTCCTTCTGCTTAGCAATACTCCAGCTTAAACATCATTATCCCCTTTATTTGGTTAAAGTAACCCAAACAAGAAAGTAAACCTAAAGAAGTAGAACACCGAGAGGTTTTTAGTTCCGGCTTACTTCAGTTTACTTCCTTCTTGGAATTACACAAACACACCAGAATACACCATTACAGACCCTTCCTGACAACTCCATTTTGTTATTTTTTTTCTTTAAAGCCTTGAAGCCTTCATACCGCTAATATTGGTTGTCAATTTTGCTTGTCTCATTACATTTTTTGGCAGAAAGTTAGCCAGAAGATTGGTCTTTCTACAGAGGACGCAGAGCGTTGACTTAAAGTGCTTACAGATTATGGATGTAAGTTAACCAAGAAATTTACTCAATTCAAGTTTAAGAACCCCGAATGTTTAAGGCAAGCAAAATAATATCTGTCTCAACGAACCGACAAACATATAACGAGAATGAGTGAAACGGCCTGTTTAGTTGTTTAGAAGATATAGTTAAATGGTCGATAAGGTTAAACGGATTGCTCAAAGTAGATACTGTTCTGTATTGTTCTTTTTATGCTCCATGTTCCTTTAGATAGCATTATTGAGTCAGTTATTGCTGTTGGTGGAGTCTTGCTTTGGGTGAGCTCTGTTTGCTGGGATACCCAATAATGACAATTCCAGTTTGGGATAAATTTGGCCACAAGAGTGGCCGTTTATTTCATTTAAGCATATCAAGCTAGGAAAGTCCAGATCCACAAGAAGATTTATCCCAGCAAAGGTGAGGGCACACCCGCCATCCGGGAGATGGAAGTGGAGCAAAACGGGAGGGAAGGGAGGGAAAAATGTTTTCCAACTTTCTTGTTGCAGTGAGCAGAGAGGCCTTGAGCCTCGCTTTCATGTCTTAAAAACACAATATATAATGTCCCGGATGGCAGGAACGCCCCCTCCCCAGTAACTGGAGAAATGACACATTAATCAGTCACATTAAGCATAAAACCATTTATTTCTTTCAGAAATAAATTTCCTTTTTTGTTAAATTGCCAAGATCATGAGGACTGAAAAGATAACACAAAAGTAACCAAGCGTAAAATTTGGTTTGACGCTGTTGCTGTTCATGTTTTTTTTTCTTTTTTTCCTCTTAAGGGTCACGGGGGACATCTTGGGCTCGTTAATGTATTTATTTTGAAGCGTGGCACGAAGTACAACGACTAACATCGACAGGTTTTATACGAGATATTCATAACTGGATAAAAGATGTGCGCGTAATTTAAAGTGATCGCTTGCACATGTGGCACTTAGACTGCGAACCGAATGTTATTCAAAGTGAAAAACGAGCTCTGAATGGTAGCAAACCTTGTTTCAGTGATTTTTAAATCTATAAAAATAAGCAACTTGTAAACAAAATTGAAGCGTGGAATGTAATTAACCATAATTACCATAATTACATATCTTGCTACATACTCGTGCTATAACCCGGAGCCTCAAAATTTTACTTTTCCGACAATTTTGTGTCTAAGAATTCAGCGCAGATATACAAAACTTCATGAGCTGGCACTGCAGAGGGGTAAATCTAGTGAACTGTCGTGTGTCATGTATAAAGCAGAATAGGCCATTTTACAGTTGTGGGCTTGGTGTCCTTGCCTTTGAGTGAACGTGAGGCTGAGGGTGACATTGTTTTGATACAGACCTCCTTCCTTTTCTAATGTAAATTTTGCTAAAAAAATACTATTTAGAATAACAAAAACATGATTTACATAATAAAGCAAGGAGGGTTGTATCAAAACAAGGTCAACTCCAGCCTCATTTCCAACTGTAACTGTAAAATGGGCTATTCCAAAAGAATGCTTCCATAAACACAGGTAGCCCAAGCTCGAAACTGATGAGCATCGGTCAACATCGGCCTTGTTGCGTAACATTCGAAATATAAGGATTTGTATGGGGAAAAAAACCTATCGTTTCTGTAACCTACGAAAATGAAAGGATTTCAATTAAAAAAAAAAAAAAAAAAAACAGCTTAATTAAAATGTGTGTTACGTCCCTCCTGTGTGGTCCACGGGCCGATTGAAGGCCGTTTTATGGGTTTTTATGTAAACTGTTTTTTACAAAAACGCATAAATCGGCCCGTGGACCACGCAGGAGTAGACTACGAGCAGTCCCCCATTTTTCCTCAGGGATAGTAGAGCGAGCGAAACGCGAGCGCGCGTGAAAATCACCCCACGCGAGAAAAGGCGATTTTTCTCTCTCCCTGCAGCGTGTCGCCTTTTCTCGCGTGGAGTGATTTTCACGCACGCCCGCGATTCGCTTGCTCTACTATCCCTGAGGAAAAACGGGGGACTACTCGTAGTCTAACACAGGAGAGACGTAATACACATTTTAAGTAAGGTAAGTTGTTTTTTATTGAAATCCTTTCATTTTCCTAGGTTACAGAAACGATATGTTTTTTCCCCTTACAAATCCTTATAATGTTACGCAACAATGCCGATGTTCGCTGATGCTCATACTTCGAGCTTGGGCTACCTGTGCTATGAAAAATATAGGGCGTTAATTTCAGGAATGAGTGATTTTGCTAATTTAAACGATTATACTGCTTGCAGGCAAACGTTAAATGGTAAACTCCGCTGTATACATATACACTAGAGGTTACTAAAGGAATCACATAGTGCTGTCGTCTATTCCTTCCGCAAAATTGTACACAAAAGCGCGATTTCCCTATTTGGTACAACTGTGGCTTGAAGTACTGCCGTAAAGCGATCTCCCAAATAATAATGATAACAAAAACAACCTTCCTAAACTTCCATCATTCCACAATGTCTCTGTAAAATTTTATGTAAATCACCTTTAGAGCAGCCGACATTATCGTTTTAGCAGCGTTTTACAAGATGTAGCACAAGCAAGATTTTTCCTTATGAATTCGAATAGGTGTCCCTCGCGACCTAAAAGGGAGCAAAAACGGTGAAGGTTAAGGTAAAAGGGTCCTTATTTCGCGTCGTTAGCTCGGAATAGTCCTGATCTGACTAACAAACCTGGGGCCAAAGGTGCGCTCGTCTTATCCCGCTTCTCCCTCATACATTTACTGGAATTAGAGATAGACGCCTCTATTTAAAATCAAAAAGTAATTACTCAGGGTAATCCGTTCAGGGAGCTTACAAAGCATCCTGCAATCAGTAGGAGCCCTGAGTTCACTAACTAGGCAAGAAAAAAACATAATGAAATATATACAATGGTAATATAACATATGAACTAATAACAAGGGGCGCGATCCATTCAACCAAAATTTCCGGAAATTTCGGTCCAAAACTAAATGGACCTGTTCGGTCCAACCGGAAAAGTTTCGAAAAAACGAGTTCACCTTTTGAGGTGGACTACTTTTCCCGGTCGGACCGGTTGGAATTTTGGTTGAATGGATCGCGCCCAAGATCTCCCAAAATTATGTACAGTTACAATAATTATAAAAACCGTACTTCCACGGCAAAAAAAAAAGATCTCCTGGCCACTTCTGTTCTCATAGCAGACAGATGCAAAAGATTGCTCTGGCGGGTTGAGCGAGCACAAATGTCCTTGTTAAAAACAAAATAGTTCTTAAAATACTGAGGGCACCGACCATCCATACATTTCCTCACAAGTTTAAGGATATGTTCATCGCGCCTGGACCTTAGACTTGGCCACTTCAAAGCTTCCATCACAGTGTCACTACTAGATATCTCTAGATGCCCAGACCAGAGCACCATACTCTAATGTCGGTCTAATCCCTGATATGAAATTGGTAGTAGCACTATGTGAAGTGACATAACGGCGCACACGTCCTAACAGACCGACCGGCCTACCAGCGGTAGAATTGGTGATTTACACCTAGAAATTGAGCTGTAAACGTCGCGCACAGCAGGCCGTACACTAGCCAACTGCGCCAACCCTTAATTCCTAAAGCAAGGATTGCACTCTGACGAGAGCACTTTCCTCCCACCGTGATTGTGACCCGGGTTTGAGTCCTTGGGTCGATTTGATAGCACAGCTCTCGCGCGCAGCATGACCGTAATGCGGGCTCAGGGTGCCAACTCATCGAGATCACATGTTTTTTTAGGTTTCAAGCTGACCAGTTATTAGCTTGCTATTGATTACAGGCTAATTTTATGTTATTCCAGCTAGTCCTCAAAAGTCATTTAGTCCTCCCTTAAGTTAAGTAATAGATTTTCGGATTTCTTTGCAGTTTTTCCAAGGTCATTGCCTGAAGTAAATTATAAATACATAAACGGGTGCTTCGCTTTTAGCTCTGGCTAAATCTATATATTATGTAGGTTGATCTTGTTGTTAATTCTCTTGTCTGTTCCAAGAGGGTTTTCTCTAGCATGTAGAGGCCGACGCCTTTCAAGTCGTCGCTTCTTTCACTAGGGTAGGGACCGACCGGAAATACGTCTACGTTCGCAGGCTAGTTTTTCTCCCGAAACTCCGGTTTTTCCTTTCCCCTAAAACCAACATACCAAATTCGAATTTAATCTGAGAAATGTCTACATTAACTTGGGGACACTTAAGATGGGGCACACGTTTGTCAGTTCTAAGTCTGGGTTGTAATCGCCATTTTTTTAGGGTGAAGGGAGATATTTTAAGAACACGCTCCTCACCCTACAGACGCGTGTTCATTTCGCGCGCCTCGCTTGCCCTAAAAAAATAAGAACAGCAACCGAACAAAACAAGTGCCCACCACAATGGCTTTTCAGTTTTTGGAATTGCCAGGGTTTATCGTCCATAAATAACATTATGTTTTTTCCTCTCTTGGTCAGACATCTTGGCGAGAAACGTATCAGCTGGAAGATGAAGAGAAGGCTTTCGCCATGGCGCTTGAGCTTTCCCGCAAAGAGCATGAACAAAGACAGTCCACAAGTAGCAAACAACAGCATCAGTCGGTAATACCAATATTTCATGCTGAAATAGTTTCTAATAATCACTTCCGCGAAGGATTCTTAAATAAGCAATCTTAGTATTGAAGGGCAAATTTGGCGTTGCTGATTCTTTTACTATAGTTCACCCCCATATTTGTAGACAGTTTTCCAAAGTCTTCTGTGAAAACTTTGGCTCAAAAACACCAACACAAAATGATCTCATCCGCTTGCCTGTTTAACGGTTAGGTAATCAATTGCCATTTCTAATCCTTTGTGTTACAGCAAAGAAAAGCATGATTTCCATACGCTCATTTGAGTCGTATGAAATCAGTATTTGTCATTGCAACACCTTCCTTAACTCGAGTGGAGTTCCAAAAAAGTACAGTTTTTAACCATAAAATGCGATGTCAATAATAATGTATAAAAATTATGTTACTCTTTAAAGGAAGAATTGCCAGTAAGACATGGTCAGAACTACGAGGAAGACGTTGCTTTATCACGAGCACTAGAGCAATCAGCTCTAGACTCATCATATGTGGCTTCCAACAGATCTGCCGGATTGGAGGCCAAGGGTCAAGTTAGACACATTTCTCTTGGCGGTATGTTATTAGTTTTAAAACCAAATAGATTTCTTCCCCCCGTTCTCTGCTATTACTTAAAATGTCCGCTTTCTATCCGATAGGTGATGTTTTGTCAAAAACAGGAAAGCGACTGGCAATACCGCTTTGCCTTCCGAACAATTGTAGATGGGATTCGAAGAAGAGCCAGTACCTTCAAACAGGGGAGAAACGTCACTCGCTGTATGTTGTGGAAGAAGCCCTTGAAAAGTTGAGGAAGATTAAAGGTACGCTTTTCACTAAAGTGCTGTAATTGTGCGATCGACCTGTTAAGAGTAAAATAAAAAAGTTAGGTTTTCAAAAAATCATGGTAAAATGATAGAACTCAACAGAATTGGCCTATGGCACAGCTGTTAACAAAACGACACGTACACTCTGTTTGAACGCAGAATCGCTAATTTATCATATACATTATATCTTCTAGGTCCGGTATGTGTAGTATCTATTGCCGGCCCATACAGAAAAGGAAAGTCATATATTCTAAGTGAAGGATTTGATCAGCCACAAGTATTTCCTCTTGGACATCACATGGACCCTGAAACAATGGGAATCTGGCTTTGGATTGTACCTGGAATCTTCAAGGTTAATTCAAAACTACGTGTCATTTGAATCAGCAATATTGCAAGTAGCCGTTCATACATGTTTGTAATTACTTTAAAGGCATTAATTCTTAGTTAATTGAAGAGGCTTTTTGTCCCCTTTCCCCATTTAACACCTGCTACAGCAGCCATGTGTCAAAGACGCTCACGGATAAAGGCATTCTTCACACGCCTGAGATGTGAAGTCCACTGTACAACACCAATCCTCCTTGTAACATTTTTGTTTCCTCTTTGTGTGCATGATAGTGCGGAGGGGAAGGCGAATGGGGGACCATTAGGAAAGAAAATACCGAGTAAGCAAAACGACTAGTAAGTTGAAAATGGTGATCCTCTACGGTCCTAACTAGTACAAAACTTACCCACGTGTTTTTGTGCATTCTTAATATGCATGATTCCATTGATGCTTTCCTCTAGGACTCCAGGGGCCAGAAGTTCACCGTGGTATTACTTGATTCCGAGGGAAGTGACTCTGTTACCGGTGAAGGACTCGATGATAACCAGATTTTTACTTTGACAGTATTGCTGGCATCGGTTCTAATATACAACTCACAGGGTGTTCCTACCTGGCGGGATCTCGAAGGACTTGAGTATCCTTAAACATGATATTAGGTATTTAAGTCTCATCTTTTTCGTTTACAGGATCACGCTACCGTGGCACTTTTAAAACATTTTTGATTTTTATTGGTTATGCACGATATAAGATATGATATGTATATGATGTATATCATATGATGTGATATATTTTTAACAGTTATTCCATGAGTGCTCGTTGGATGTGAGATGGTAGAGGCCAACTAGGCGCGTAGCGCCGAGTTGCCTATAACCATCTCATATCCAACAAACGCGAGTGGAATAATTTTTTTTATTAAAAACGTCCAAAAAATATCGAGAATTCGTCCCGACTTTATTTGTAAAACAACCGATTTTCAGATTGTTTTTAATTTTGAGCAGACGCGTACAGTTACCATATCTGGAGAGCATGGTATAATGGCTCATATACCATGATGGCTAAGCCAATCAGAGCTCTAAACCTGAATTATCCAATAATTCAGTTTTTAATAAAAATATAACAATTATTCACTGTAGTGGAGGTGGCTAGTGATGGTGGTTATTTAACGAGGCCGCGAAGCGGCAAGGTAAATAGCCACCGACACTAGCCACCGACACTGAGGTGAATAATAGCTTTAGTATATATTAAAACAGTGAGATAATTGAGCCCCAAAATGATGATTTTTAACTCATTTACTGTTGCCAACGATTACAATTTTGGCGCGCAATGACCGAACGGCCGCGGTCGTCGCTTTTCGCTTGCCGACAAATAAAACTTTTGAAGGCATTTGTTTAGCTCTTGCGGGAAAATTTCTTCAAAAGGAGTTGTGAATTCTTTTTGTATTTAAAACAATTCTGAAAAAAAAAACTTATTGAATTTAGTTTTAAGCTTATTTATAAACAAGCCAAAGTAACGCAAGACTTTGTAAACAAAAAACTTTTTCACCTGTTTTATCGATGAATTCAAGTCAAAGCTTTACCTGTTAAAACTTCCAAACCGAACTTCGTCACCTTCTTCTTGTATGTCGGGAACAGCGTGCTTGATTACTTGTGAAATTTCTTTGTTTCAGTACGGCAGCAAACCGGGAAGGCATTTTGCTCGCAACTTACGCGAGTTTGGCGTCGCTCGCTCGGAGGAACTGTAGGTGAATCAGTGAATAGTGCAGGATATTCACTGATTCAGTAGAGGGCGCGAAAAACACTATCCACTGTTTTAGTGTATACTAAATATATTTAAGCAACAGACCACACTTTCGATAGGTTTACCGGCGTGATAACCCATGCGGGATGTTGGGAGAACACGAGAATAGCTTGTAAATCACGAGCCGAAGAATGTAGTTTTCTTTAACCATTACCCAGGTTTATTGTTAAGTTATCCCAGCGCATCGAGGTACGATCAAAAACAAAAGGTGTTGCTGGAAAATGACACCAGGACTCAGAGTTTTTTCATAAAACATTTCCTTTCTTTATCTGGCTGCTGCGAGACGTTACCCAGAAAATCCCACGAGATTGTCGCAACATCAAGGACTACTTTCTCAAGAAGGTAAACCTATGCTTAATAGGTAATAGCTAGGATGACGCATTTTAAATTACTATAGGCAAAATGCATGACGATGCCAAGAATCGACTGAGATGTCGCAATGATAAAAATGCATATAGATAGATTGGCTATGTAAAGGTTATTGAAATAGTAAGTTATGATTATGGTAATTTCTGGTTTGGAACCCAGCAAATGAAGATTTTCTTACCTTTTTTACACAGATTAGTAAACGGTTTGCTTCTCGTTAGGCTTATTATTTTCAGTTTCAGGTGCATAGTTTAGAAAGAAGTGTAAATATTTTTACCATGTATTTGAGTCATAATTTTTGCAAAGGCCTGTTGAAGTGTTCTGCTATTTTCTCGAGCTACATCGGGACCGCCACCTCTCTGTCTTAACATCACGTCATCATCCAATAATAATTTTTTTTTATGATAAATAAATACAGAGCTCCAGTTAAATAATGGAAAAACTATTCCAAATCCTCAAATATTGATCAGGGCAAGCTAATGGGGAAGAAAAAGCCGGGGAAATTAACCCTATTCAGCTTGGCCTTTTTTTTCTTCATGCGACCGAAGGGGCGGAGGAGGGGATGCTCGCCCCCTATAACTTCAAAAACAGCTCATGCTATGTCCACCATAGTTACACAGAATAATGTACTCATCATTTTCAACTTCTGGGTATAATTTGATGGGCACAATGACGTTATCTGACGTGACATCATGATCATGACGTCATAATTCTGAATTTAGATAATTCAAAATGGCGGATCCAAGATGGAGGATGCTTCCTGTTCCTTTTTTCGTAATAAATGACGTTATCATGACATCACTGTAACTGTTAATGATCATTTATGTGTTAGTTAACTTCTTGACTTTATCAGAAACCTCACTATTTTCGCTTAATGCCTACTTTGAGGTAAACTTGGATTCCGCAAATATGTTCAGCATTATGACGTCATGATGACGTCAGATTAAAACCCCTATAAGTCGAGGTATTCTTAATAGAAAACGTGATCCCCGTATGAAAGGATGCTGAGCAAACAAAAAGATCTGCAAAATGTGAATTTTTGAAAGAAATGAACACGATTGAAACTTTAAACTCAGCATCTGCCATTTGATCATATTAAAATTTTTTTTTTCATGTTAGTCATTAAAAGGCCGAGATTTCATTAAAACTTATAATAACTTTGATTGAATGATGCTAAATAAAGTGTAATATAACAATGCAGTCAGTAAACAGTAAAAAACTCTGTTGCCATGGTAATGTAAATATTGACGAACACAGCACGATAGCTTCATAATATCCCAAGATAAATTTTAGGAAAGGGTGCTAAGTTTGGTGGTCATAGCTTGAACGGTTTTAAAGTAATTTAGTTTTTTGTGGAGGGTTGAAGCCCCCACGGTCTGAATAGGGTTAAGACATTAAAAAAACGACGAAATATTTGAATGTGTTATGGGCTTTGGTGTGGACATTCCCAATATCTTTTTGTAATTTATTTACGAATTAAATAAACGTTGACATTCATTACATCTTCCGTGAGAAAAATTTTCCAAATCTGAACCGTTTCTGTAATTCCGAATTTTCTGTTAAGTCTGAAATGACCGCTTTTGAAATACATATTTTAATTTTTTGCAGGTTTTTAAGGTCCATGATTCATCCGCTGCATCTCCGGATGACCAGCAGAAAGTCGCTGAAAGCATTTTAAGCTTTTTTCATGGTTTCGAAGCGTTTACTTTGCCATCTCCCACCGTTGATCCAGAGATGCTAAAAAGCATCAACGATAATAGAAGTCGGATAAATCCTTTGTTCCTGCGTGGCTTAGAAGCATTCAAACGGCTACTTGGAGACATTTTGACTCCTAAAAAGAGTTTCAATGAAGGAGAGCTGGTTACAGGAGAAGGTATATATCTGTTACTAATCTAAAAAAAGCGCTTTTCTTGATGCCTTTAGAGTGAAACGATAGACTGAAAAAACATCCGTACCTGTTGGCGCTAATTATACAGAAGGGTCTGGAGAGTTTAAGAATGGGGATTGAGACTGGAGCGCGCCTCGATTGAAGGATTTACTCTGATTCTGGTGACGCTTTAACTCCTTGCCTAAGCGACTTTGAGAAAAAAAGAAGAGACCGTTCAGCGGTCCAGTGAAAAGAACGCTTGAAAAGGCAGTTGCATTCCCAAGCTGTTGCTTTACCAAGAAAATACTCTTGTCCCAGAACTTTTGTAAATGAACTATAAATATAGTTTACGTCATAGAAAGTGCAGCGTACGCGGTTATATTCCGAGTTGTTTGTGTCAAGGCTCGAACGAGCGAGGTAAGAGCGAGTGATGGCTTTTGACACAAACAACGAGTGAATATAACCTCGTACAACAATTCTCACTGAAATAGTTTTCTTAATGTAACGCATATTACTAAGAGCAAATCACAAATAGTAGAACCAAATGCAAATTTAATAGCAAAGCAAATCTCGAAAACCACATCTTGTCCTAATCGTGCCGAACCAAACATGCACTTGCAAAATTTTAATGTAGTAAGTACATTACAAAAGACAGACCTCAGCGACGTGCGCTTCTAATATTGCCCTCCGTCTTTGTTTCGAACTTGAAGTAGAAAATTTACGATTAACACGTCGAGATCTCTTGCATCAATATTTTCTCACTCTCTAGGCTCGTTCCTTGAAACTAAATTTTCAACAACGAAACATCTCTCCGTGTTTTGCTTAATTTGTTTTTGTTTTCTTGATCAGCGGCACAAACTCTTCTAAGGAGTAACCAACCAACACAAACCCGTTAATAGTTTTCCTTCGTCCCCGCCATTTTCTGTAGAAAAATTTGGAGGCGCCGCTAAAAAGTCGCCAAATCTGGAAAGCCATTTGAATGCAAACGATGAACGACTGTGATTGGCTCAATCATATGTCAATGAACGGCTATACTTCCAGGTGTGAAAACAGCTGTACCGCCCATTCTGATCGTGATTGGCTGTATAAGCTTTTGTCGTATGTGAAAACAAAGCGTATAAATTTATACAAATAAGCTTTAAGAAACAAAATTCTTGAAATACGTGTAATAAATGGCAATTCTTTATTTCAGTGGCCTGAATAAAGCTCTCATTTATTGTCGTTTTCCAGGTCTCGCTGCATTGGTTCAGTTTTACGTTAAAGCAATTAATAGTCCAGGAGTAATTCCTAATGTCCAGAATGCCTGGGAAGCCTTTGTGGAGATGAAGTGTTCCGACGCTACTAAAGGAGCCCTGGAAAGTTACGAAAATGCTATGAAGTCGAAGCTGGAAGGCAAGCTTCCTTGTGATAATGATGAACTACGCAAGGTACATGGAACTGCATTTGAAACAAGTGAAGCTTACTTCATGGCAGAAGCAGCGGGAATTTCCACAAGCACCACTGAAACGTATCTAAACAAACTGAAGGTTCGTTTAAAAGAAGTAGTAGTTCCAAGACCAGTATTTGTTTATTCTATTCAGATCTGGGGTGGGTTGGCTTGTTGTTAGCAGGGCTGAATGAATGCGGAGAGTGCTGTTTTACGGAATGCTTCACTACCCTTGATACCGCCGCCTCTGGATTCCAGTTAGAGATTAAGGAGGCAATGTGTATAAAGTGGGAGAAACCTATTTTAAATCAACAGGTGAAACATGTAAACCAGTCACTTTCCATGTAGCTTAGCTGTTATTTCTGTTATATTTTTTTCTCTCCTCATTGTTCTTTTTTCACATTTAGCTTCCACTGAAATCGTTGTAATTAGCATATTCAAATTGTAACTACTTCTATAACTTAAGATATTCAAATTGTAACGAGCTTCTTCAACTGAAGATGGCAAAAGTTTGTCGGAACAAGTACATGTCTTGCAAATTGAAAACTGTTGTGTTATTTGTTAATTAGTTTTAACATTTCAAAGAGTTAAGCTATCTATTATGCAGGTTATTCTCACAACAGTATCCAACTAGAGTAATTCCTGTGTAAAATAGCTCCATGGAGTTCGATGGAAAATTCATGGTGTTCCATTGAGTATCCATGGAGTTTCATGGAATTCCTTGGAGTGTCCTTGCAGTTTGTTTGAGAATCCATAGAAATTGACATTTAAATCAAGCAACTCATCAACTTGTTAACCACGTGTTCAAGTCTGCACTTTTTATTGGAAAGAAAAATAGGAAACAATCCAGCTTTTTAAGAGCAAAATAATGCGTAAGTTCAAATTCGCAGACGGTGTAAAAGTATCTTAGACTTGTTCTTGTTCACCGGTTATGCTGAAACCCAGCGTAAGAAATGTTATTGCAAACTATTAGAGATAAATAATGTGCACTTAATAAAAAATGATCCTGTGTAAAAATAAATAAACTAGCACTAACCAAATGTTACGGAGTGCGGGCGACAACGATAGAAGATCAAAACCCTTTTGCTCCAAAGCCGTGCTTTGCGTTTTACGTAACAGATGGTCAAAACCCGCGTGATCAGATTACGAGTGATAGAAGTTCCAAACGCGCGCGATCAAATTGCGTCATGTGCATTTCATTTATTCTTAGTGGAAGTCCAAAGGAATCCTGGCTACATACATGCAATGCATGCGTAATAGCAAACTGGAGATTAGTATTGCGGGCTCCTGCTTATCGCCTGCAATAAATATACAAATTTGTTCCTAGTAAGGCTGTCTGCCAAATATCTTGCAAAATTAGTGTTGCATTTATATGAGAGGATCGACCTTTTATAACTACATGCAGCCGCTTCGATATAATTAACTATGCAAGGTTTTCCTTTTCGGCCGGCGACCAGCGATTTGCGCCGCCTGTGAACGGCTCCGTCGCCGGTAACTAGAAAGGTTAATTGTTGAAATAAATGTTACGCGCAATCACAATTGTCTATAATTGTGACCTCTCACGCGAAAATGTTCATTAACGGCCTTCTGGTAAACGGGTGAATCGCACGGCTACTACCCTGCGAGCAGAGGTGTGGCTTTGGGCGTTTACGAAAGCGTTCCTGTCGCTTGTCGGTGAGTAATCGCGTAGTTGGTTTGTTTGCGTATTAATATTATTAAAATTAAGACAATCGAAAGGCCGGGTTACAAACGGCTTACTTATCCGTTCGAACGAGGACATCGAATGGCTGAACGGATTATTAAGTATTCGGAAGAATATGGAGTAATTCATTAGAAATTGATGTCCTAATCCTCCATGGAATTCCATAGAGGTATTTTGCACGGGTTCAGTTTGTCTTTTGTTTTCTGCTGGCCATTCCCGGTTTTGAGCGTCCTTTTTCTTTTGTTAGGAACTTTTAAGTGTGAAGTTGATGTCATGGCAGACCCAGAACGCGAAGTTAACAAGAGAATTATGTAACGATCTGCTTACTCAGCTCAAACAGAATCATCTGGAACCAGTCCTTAGACGAATGCAGGGAAAAGAAGCGGCCAAAATGTCCTTTGAGGAGGTCATTGCCGGGTACAATAAGATCAAAGAGGATTACCACAATTCCGCAATTGGTGCCAAAGATGTTATTGCTGCTGTTTTCTTCGAATTCCACCCAGTAAGACCTTATACTTTGCTAATAAGCACTTTGTGATGGCACTATGATTGCCTGTTTTTTTTTCTTTTCTTTCGCTAGTAATTCTACAAGAAACTAAGCAGGAAAAAGACGTGATTTTGGTGTGATCGTAGAATTATAATCGAAAGAAAAGATGCCTTGTCTCCACTCTTATAGACTATAGAAATAACGTTTAAACGCCCTAAAATTTAGCGTGATATTGAAAAAATGACTACATTACCAGTCCACGCATCGTCTACACGATTTGTATCGTTCTTCTGCGAATAAGTGCTCAAAAGCTCTTTCTGATATCCAGCAGAGTCGAAAGAATATGTGAGCCTTTCTGATAGGCGGGTTTCTTATAAGCCTCCCGATTGGCCTAATTCTTAAGCGTGCGTGACGTATGGGCGCAGTGACATGTCAAAATTCACAGGAGGGTTGGCAAGGAGCTTATACAGTGAACAATGAAAGAGCAAAAGCCTTCTAATGAACAAAAAAATGCTTTGAGGAAATTCTTTCAAGGGCAAAAAATTGCTGACTAGTTTTCCAGCATCTTCCAATCGCTGCTGATGCACTCTCGAGTATTCTGCCATCTAGTTGACAGTTCTAGCGTCAAAAACAACAACAACAACAAAATATACACATGTAGCAAGAGAGAGTGATCTAAGAGAGCGAATCCCCCTTACATGACCCTCTTTCCATGAAAATTATTTTCAATCTATTCTTGGTTCTGTGTCATACTGCGTGGTTATTTTAAGGACGCCATCCTATTGGTCGGTTTGAGTGGCGTCATGTAATTTTAAACGTAGTGGGTTATTCGTTTCACCGCCGATCACGTACAGCAAGCGACATGACATGCAAACTTGGTATTACTTTCGCCGACGAGTCAAGAGATTTCTACGTGAAAAAATCTGGTCAGAGTAGCTGCCGAAGAGCAAAACGGTCCTTGCTTGTGGAAGTTCGCCGGAGAAAGCGGTTCCGACATTGTACAAAAAACGACAACTGTCTCTTCCGGCGACATCCACTTACACCTACGAGCTGTGATACCGTCGTTTAGATCCAACCGTGGACACGTAACGAGAAAATAGGTTCAAAGTGGGTTCAAACATGAATGTTTGGCCGCCAAACATTTGAATTTTGAGAGGGCGCTAGACAAATGTGGGCACACAGTATAAAGAATTGACCGAGACCGGAAACCGCGCATAAAAAGTCTCTGGCATCCAGGTTAGCGATTGACTAACAGCTTGAAGCATCTGACCTGATTTGTGTTCACGGGGCTAAATATTCATCGCAAGTATTAGGCGTTAAGAAGAAGTAATGAAGTGTGAAAATTTCAAGAATAATTCTTTTAAAAAGTAAATGTACTGTTTCTGAAAGAAAAACATTCCTGCAAAATGAGGAAAAATATCTTGCACATTTGCATAAACAATTGAAGCCAACCACCTATTAAAGGTTTCGTGTTTCGCGCGTGATAACCTTTGCCTTTGGCTTTCATGGTGTGTCAGAATTCAACATTCGTTACTTTTGAAAAATGGCTACCAGCCGTTAGAAAATCTCAATCTTTAATCTCAAAGTGAAATTTTGACTCCAATACTGCAATCCCTTTTGTAAATGAAATTCATTCCTAATCATGAGCGGAACGCGCTGATCAAAAACACGTCAACAACAGGAGTATCGGCTCCTGGGGCTAATTACTATGATGGCTGTCAAACTTCAAATGTTTGGCGGCGAAACATGTCATGTTCACGTGAAAGTAGACCAAACGGGTCACGGAAACAACAGACAAAATAACCTACGCAGCACGCGCGCGAACTTTAAATAGATTAAAAAAAATTATCATGGGGCACAGGGATTCGCTCTCTTAGCTCATTCTCTCTTGCACGTAGTTATTCAGGTCCAGGCATTTCGGAGAAAGCCAAAGAAACTTAGGTTATTTAGCCACAATAAAAAGACTTTAACAGGGGTAAAAAAAAAAAAAAAAAAAAAAAAAAAAAGATTTAATGGCAAACTGCATCTGTGATAAAATCCTGTCAGAAAACACCTGCAGTAACGTAAACTACAGGAACTAATTACTCAATCTGCATGGAACAAAAAAAACCTCTGTTGTTCATGCTAACTCTAAGGTCACGTTTCACAATATCACGAGCTCATTCTCTCCTGTAACGAACTATGAATTGTGTTTGGCCTGTCAACAATTTATCTCAAATCAGACTTATCACAAACTGCGTAAGAAACTAGCCAATCAAAAACGCATATGTCTTTATGACTCTGTGGGATTCGAACACGATATTGTGCACTACTTCGCCGACGCTTTATGCACTGGTTTAGAGTGTCTGTGACACAGACTAACTAGAAAGTTGATACCCATTTGAAATATATTGTTTGGGGCCAGGGTCCTCTTTGTGAAAAATGGGTATGCGTTTAATTTAAGATTGAAAAATAAATTTGCTTCTTAAACCTGGATGGCCATTTTCTCACTGAAAGGCATTTTAAAAGACGATAACAACTGTTAGCCGTCGGGCCTTCCGTGCTCGAAACTAGATACCAGGAAGAAGTAATCGCATTTTTTTTTAGTTACTGGCATGCGCTTTTTGGCCATTGTTTTTACTTCTTCTTGTCATTCTCAAAGACTCTTTGCGATCACTTCAGGATTTGATGACCTTTTTTTGTGGCTAACCTTTTTTGATATTCGTTATGTGCCCAGACGGTGGTACTGAAGTTTTGAACAAGAATTTCGGCTTTTGACAGCGGATGGTCACGCGCAGTATGCTTGATTTGTTTAGATATCTTATTTAAGCGCATAAAAGAATTGTACGTCGGGCTGACCTGAAGAATAAAGTCCTTTCTCTATTTTATGGCTAAGATATATCAGAGGTTTTAAGCTTCTCCCTGTCCTTGTATCGATTGACCATTTTAGCATTTTGATGGAAGCCTTACAACTGCTGTCAGTTTTAACTGATCACCCTTGACAGCAAAACACCTCTTGCCTTCATTTTTAAATCCAACTCGAAATCCGAACCTGCTATTTAAAGCATGCATTGGTTGGAAAAAAATAGACGTTCAAGGCACCGAACTTTATTGTTAATTGTTCGCGAGTGCCAATATTTCCTTGAATATAGTTTATTACTCATTTCGTGTTTCGCTTTGCTTCTGAATCAACGGTAACTGTTTCAGTTTACCCTGTTTCAGGCTTTGAGATAATGGGGCGGAGCGGCGCAAAGAGAGGTGAGAAGGGAAAACGGTAAGAGGGTAGGGTAGGAGGGGGGCGCGATGGAGCGCCTGTGGTCCTTTTAAACAAAAACTTTTTCCGGAAATCTGGTTCGGTTATACCTTGTAATAAGGTTATTTTTACGACGGATCTTGTCAGCGCTCGAAGGTTCTTGATTGGAAATGTGATGCGACACCGATATGATCAAAAATCAGTCAGCTTTGAAGGGTGAAATGATTCGTTATAAGCAGCAAGGTGAATGTGGAATATTATTCTCATTACGTTTTATTTGTAGGCCCTTTTGAAAGAACAAGAACAATATTTAGGATTGCTGGGGCAACTGAAAGACTATGATGAGGTACTGACCCAGGAACTTGCAGCTAAGGCTTATCAAGAACAGGAGAGGCAAAGACTTGAGGTATCTTTTTCTGTTACTTCTTTATAATAATAATAATAATAATAATAATAATGATGATGATGATGATGATGATGATGATGATGATGATGATGATGATGATGATGATGATGATGACGGTAATATGATATTGATAATGATAACGATATACGGTAAATATTAAGGAAGAAGAATTCTAACACTTGAAAGCCCCGAGCTGGAGGTGAGAATCGAACTCACGACCCTCCGAGTTCGAGTTCGGACGCTCTTACCAGTGAGCTACTGGAACTCTAATGGCCAGCTGGTCGGGATTTCAATACAAGTACACCAGACTTTTAGGATTGCATCGAGGACTTGCTCATTAATTTGCGGTCCAGCAGCGTACAAACCCTAGGCTGTATATTTATATTAATGAAGAAGAAGAATTCTAACACTTGAAAGCTCATAAAAAGTTTCCGAGCTCCAGGTGAGAGTCGAACTTACGACCCTCCGAGTTCTAGTCCAAGTTCTAAAAACGCACTCTTGTTTCTGTTGATATGCGAAGCACATCTGAGAGTGGTCGGTTCCTGGGAATAATGTGCCACAGTAATTGTTTCTAATTAATCAATTTTATTTTCAACGGATATCATTTAACGTTTTCTTTATTTTCCAGTCCTTTTTTCATTATTTTAGCACCGACTCTAAATCGGTAATTTTTTTAAAAGTTTCGATATCCGTATGCCTGGAAACCTGCTGCTTCGTAGAGAGTTAGTGGCCAGTCTTAATCTTAAAAGTACGTACGGCTAAGGCATGTTTAAATTGTTCTTATGCGACACTGATCAATCGACGATGAAGTTTTGGATGGAGGATAGTGAATTATTGATAAATTTCAGATTTATTTTTCACAGGAGGAACAAGAACGATTGCGTCAAGAGAATCTGAAAGTTAAGAAAGAGGTAATGCTATGCTCGCACGTAATGATATATGGTATCACTAAGAATTATTAAATATCACCATTCCATGCATATCTGGATCTTCAACAACGTTAACCGGCGGCTGTTATATCGAAGGAAAATACCAGCTACTGAAAAACACACATTTGGCCGAGATGGGAAGCTTTAAGGGTAAATCTGAAATTTTGAGGACAATCACAGAGGCAGCTATATTCCAGAAAGCCAGAAAGGCGTTTGGTTTTCCTGCTTCCATTTGAAAATGAGTCTAACTTAGTTGACTTTGTTATGTTTTTTTTTTGCGACCGAAAAATAGTAGGGCAATTATCGACGAGGAAGGAGTATAGCGCCTGAAACCAGTCCTCCGATTGACCACCACGTGACCCAAAATGGCCAGTAAAATCGCGAGAAAAATAATAGGCGGCTTAGGCTAAATAACCAAAATGTGAATTGAAAAGTGGATTTTCTTTCTTGCCCTTATTTACTGAGTTTACGAGTGAAGTTTGGCAAGCGCGTTTGAAGATCGCGGCTTTCAGCATCTAGTAATCTAAAAAAGCTCGATAACAATTCCAATTCAACACGAACTCATAGAAAGGTCAAATATGATAAGTTTAGAGTGAAAACGTTTATTGTTAGTTTCATGTCCAATTGTAGATGGAGATGTTACGGCAAAAACAGCATGAGGAAAGAAAGAAGTTCAGCGAGCAAATAAAAAATGAACTTCAGGCGCAGAAGGAGCAGATGAACAACATGATGGAAGCAAATATGGAGCGAGCGAGAAATGAGAGACAGGATTTTATGCAGGAAAACCAACATCTCAGGAAAGAGTTCCTGGCAATCCAGAAAGCAAACGAAGACAACATGAAAATGGTGGGAAAATTAAGAGATATGGTGGCTAAGCAAGAGGAAGAGAAACGACGTATTAGTATTGAACTGGAAAAAGCAAAGGATGCCAAGGACCACGAAGACATCATGGCAAAGATGAGGGCGAAACACAAGGAGGACCAGGACAGGTTGCGTCGCGACATGGAGGCCAAGATGGAAGCGAATCGTCAGGCCTTGGCACAGGGCTACCAACAGGCTGTGGCACAAGCTCGAGTACAACAGTTGGACGAAATGCAAGAAAAACTCGACCAGGTGGGAACGCAGTTGGAGGAAATTAAGAAACCATGGTATCAGAAAGCATGGTCGAAATTCAAAGAAGTAGGCAGTGCTGTTGGCGGTGCTGTGG